GACTGCTGTTGCAGTCCAAATACCAGGACGCCGTAGAGCGTATTAGGACCCTGTAAGTAAGCACTGCTCTGTTTACATGTATACTTACCCTCTCGTTATAGCGATACTTACTTGTTTCGTATCCTCTTGTCTTACCCTGCTTTCGTATTCGTGACACTAATAGTGTTTGTGTGCGCTCATGTTTGGTTTCACAGATGATGATGTATGAAGGTCTGGGGCTGCCGCCTTCAGGATGTGCCATTTGTTTCAAAATTATTTGTAAGTACTTGTAACAGGCGTAGTGTAGTAACTGTGTGTGTAGTGTAGTAACAGTGTGTAGTGTTTTGTGATGGTCCTGTGCTATAGCAGTCGTAATGTATTTTGTGATGGTCCTGAGCAGTCGTAATGTGTTGGGCTACTGAAGTACACTGCATGAAGGGGTATGTGTGGGTGCTTCGACATATTCTCGTGCTTCCTAAACCCTAGATACGTGTATAGCAATATAACCTAGATGTGTGTGTGTGCGTGTGTGCGTGTGTGTGTCTGCGCATGCGTGCGTGTGCGTGCATTGTGTTCTCTTCTACAGACTCATCCAAGTCAATTTAAATAAAAGTGTATTATAGTAAACAGTATTGTGTTTTGTTACAGTGAATATGTGGGGAATGGTGGTCATGCCTTAGTGTGACTGGATACCCGCGGGTTGTGACTCTTTGCTGGCCACTCTGGATTCTCCAGTATAAATTCGGTACAGTGCAGAGGGGATTTGTGGTGCGTAGCAACACTGCTTCACTGTGACACCCCTTCAATAATTGTTTTGATGCATGATACTCCGGGCGTAGCCGGTTGATTCTAACTGTATCCCGATCAAAATAGAAATATGCATCTAATGCACCTGCATGGACAGTAGGCATTTCCCAAATCGGCCGGCCGAAAAATTCGCCGAAGAAAGTGGTTTTGAAGAAATCACCCATCTTTTCGCCGAATTTTCAAATTTCGCTTGTTGAATTCGCCGAAAATCGATGTTTCAGTGCTTCAACAGAGTGTGTGTAAATGTACATGACGTAATGGAAACGGTGACTTCAAGTACTACGTTGAGCCGTATTCTGATCTTGGGACTCATAATATGGCCGAATTTGAACATTCTCGATCGAAAAGCCGATTAGGCATGCTCTGTATGGGCAACTTGTCAATCAGTGCACATATACATCTACGATGTGCGAATAAAACGAATGCACGGAACGTGAACTTGTTTGCTGCACATCTACGAAGTGCGAATCAGGGAGTAGTATAATGACAAGTGTACTAGTACACCTTGTGTTGCACTGCGTCTTTTCCTCACGCAGGGCCACTGAAGGTCGCACGCTCCGCGTGCGTATGCGCGCATGCGCAATATGTCACTGCATGCAATGCACATCTACGATGTGCGAATCAGGGAGTAGTACAAATTTTACTACTCCCTGGTACGAATGCACCGAACGTGCACAAGTGCACGTTCGCCACGGAAAAGAACATGATGACATTTATGGCATGGCAGGGGTCAAAGGTCAAACTCTGGGGGGTCCCGGGGCCAGACCCAGCACGACCGACACAGTGTGCCTTATTTGGCCCAAAGGTCAAAGGTCAAAAAGTGGGCCAGAACCTGCCCCGCACTTACTACTCACGGGGCAGTGGTCTGATACTGGAGGTAGTATCCACTGGTTCCTAGCAGCTGTTGGCCCGGTAGTTGCGACAAGGTCCAGAAGAGAAGAGGTTTGTCCAGTTACTGAGTATCGAGTGGGCTGGCGAACCAGTTGTGTAAGATTTGCTGAGTCAAACACATTGGAAAGATGTGCTCCAGCAAGGATATTGGGACCAGATGGTAGCCAGCAGCTGAGCCGCGCATTGAAATCACCGATTACTATACGTCGCTGCGGGGTCTTGAACTAGCTCTACATGCAACTAGACTGAATCTACACGATGGAAATTTTCAAATCTAGGGAGAGGCAAGCACTGCATCCACTCAGTTCAAGTACCGGTACATATTCTAGCTACATAGCTTATATGATCACCTGACAAAGTACATGTATGTACTGGTGACCACAGCATCAGGAAACTTTGTAGGTACTTATCAATCAACCAAAAGAACTGTTTTGCACCTTGCCAAATGTGAAGGAAATCCAAAAAGCAGTTTCAGTTTTCTTGATAGCAGTAAGATGTGTATATACAGGTACCGTCTCAAAATCGACAAATTGAGAGCACTGGAAAAAGAATGTTTCGGGTAACTGCAGAAGGGTCATAACTTTGCAGACTCTTTCCATTCCTATCAAGCTACTACTAGTACATGTACATGTACACCTCCGCTTCTTGCAGTGTCCTAGGAGTAAACGCATTATTGTGAAGTCTTTTTCATGGTAACACATAATTTTTTGGCTTTTCCTTATCACTGCACATTAGAGGAATTGATTTGGCAAGCTTTGATGAAAAATTTCGGGCCATATCTTATGGTCCACCTTATAAAAAAAGAGCCAATTGCGCCTTGGAGCCCTCTTTGAATCCATGTTCTGTTCAATCTGTTGTTGATATTGATGGAAGTCCTGCAAAACCTCGCACAAGACACTTACTTATATTACCCCATGCAATGTACGTGGCAGTCCGCAAAATGCTTCTCCTCCACAGACTGACGGTCATTGACCAAACAGCTTCATAATACATGTAATATGTTGATATCCAAATGCATAAAATTCGTATAAATGGCATTTTTGAAAGTCCCATACCGGTTATTTATGCACTCTTGATGTTTGGTGTGGATAAAGAAATGAAGCAGAATTCGAGGAATTGCCCGCCATAATGTTTGTATGGTTCTGCCAATTTCACTGCGTTTCGAGCAGAATCTGCCACCTTTTCGAGCATAATCCGCCGGTGCCTACTGCCTATCCAGCAGGTGCACGCACGTGTTCGCGTGTGTGCGAGTTCGAACACATTTTGAGGAAATATGCCATATATGCCAACATGTAAAGCCCTGGTTGACTTCGTCGACCCAGCTCTCCCTAACACCCAGTTTGCATTCCGTCCTGGACACTCGACCGAAGATGTACTGGCACTGCTCTCGGACACCGTCCTCCAAGCCCGAGACAATGGTTCTGTTGTAGTAACATTTCATGCCTGTTAGATATGAGTAAAGCCTTCGACAAGGTGAAGCATGCCACCCTCATCCAGGACTTGTTCAGCATCGGTATCTCCGGCACAGCCCTGAAATGGTTTCGGGACTATCTGTCTGGGCGCCATCAACGCGTTCGTATGGGCTCCCGACTGGGCAGAACTGTACCGTGCACTTGTGGTGTGCCGCAGGGCTCTGTACTAGGACCCATGCTGTTCTTCATATACACCAGAGATGTCCCCTCTGAATCTGCGCCGGCATCATCACTGCAGTTTGCGGACGACATCGCCCTGACATGTGCAAGACGGACAGCGCAAGAGGTGTCTGATGCGCTCAGCTTGGCGGTTACCTCCCTCTCACGTTGGCTGGACACTCGTGGTCTTGTATTAAATGCAAAGAAGAGCAATGTATTGGTTTTTACCAGCAGCCGTGGGCAGCAGCCGGACGTGGTTGTACGCTGTCGAAATGATGTCCTTCCGCACACCACCAACGCGAAATACCTCGGCATCTTGATCGATGAACGAATGGCCTGGCAACCGCAAGTAAGTTGACCGGTGCATCTCACGCACTGCTTGGAAGATCAGTAGCCTATGGCGGGCGCGACGCTGCCTCACTCTAGCTAGTCGAAGCAAGTACTTCCTATCTGCCATCATGCCGGATTTGTTATATGGATCGTCAGCATATGGCTCTGGCTTGACCCACAACCAGCTAAACCGCTTGCAGGTGGCCCCAAACCGCGCAGCAAGGGCGGTGTTCGGACGACCACGATTTACCAGGGCCAGTGACCTCTTGGAGAGGCTCTCTGTTTATCGCGTGGACGAGGTATATCGTCAGAAACTGCTCGTGCTGGTATGGCGGTGCGTTCATAACCGTGCCAGTCCTGCTCTGCAGGCACTGTTTGTCCGCAACTGCGGAGCAACTCGCCTTCAGCGCAGTCTGGGCCTGCAACCAGCGAATAGTACAGTATTGTACTACTACCTGCATGCAACAACCCAGAAGCCGAGCAGGCCAATGCGGACCGGCATCTCGCGGTTGCCTGTTATGGAACCATATACCTGACACGGTGCGAGCCATGGGCAACATCCCAGCATTCCGCCGAGCTGCCATTCCCTACACGTTGTAGACTGCTACACAGTTGGTCATACCATGGTATTCAGTACCCACGAACTTTGCAAAGCCGATATGATAATGTACCGTGGTGCATGCACCGATGGTACCACCACTTCGTAGACTGCCTCCCCGGTTCATTTCAGTGCTCCTGTCTTTATTCTCGTCGGCTGTGTACTTCAGCAGTTCAATTCTGTGCTCCAGTCCTCTTTATTCTCGCGGGTCGTGAGCTGTGTACTTGTTTTTTTTTTGGGTTTTTTTTTGTTGAATTCGCTCAGTAACCGTGTACTTGAGCTATTCTCTCCTCTCTCTTCTGAATTTGACTCTCCGCTGGCCTTCTCTCCTCCCATCCCCTTACACTGTATTGGGCCTCCGCAGCCCTCCCCCTCCCCCCACCACCACCCCACGCACACCCTACAATACATAGTCATTGTCACTTAGCACAACCGAGTCAACCATTCGCTACCCTGTTATTGAGCACTCCTGCTCGTTTGGTCTCGCGAATCCAAATAAAATCAATCAGGTTGAACAAGTATGCCAAATCGGTTCGTACGAGCAATGCCGTATACGAGCGTATAAACCGCCTCAGGCATGGGTACATGTACATGGGTGCACGGAAGCGATGCGCACCCACGTCCTTTCACGTACACACCGGCATCCGAGTACCGCCCGTGTCGGATGTATGCACGTGGATACATGTACGCATACGCATTTCCTGGAGTGATTCAAGAGCAGAAGACTCTACTGCAGAGTAATTTGAAGTGTATGCTTTGCCCTGCCGCTTGGTTTTTTTCTCACATGGCGGTTTCCGTTAGCTGTGCTTCCTCCTGTTAGATTTGAGATTCTGTCTAGATCTCATCACACCATGATCAGCCAGAGTACAGGGATTGGACGAACGCGTTTGACACGAGCATTGTCTTCAGTCGCAACAACTCTTCCCTGCCTTCAAGAGAGTGGAAACTGGGACACACTTCAAACATAATAATGTCCGGGATTTGAATTATTTGAAGGTCCTTGTGTGCAGTCAATGTCCTTTCCTCTCGCATCTGCTGGAGCAGACTGGACATTGTAGTGTGGCCGGAACCGCTGCTGGGGAGAGCAACTCTGCATAATCGTGCGACTGTGCATGGTGAAAAGAGCCCAAGCGAGCTTTGCCGGAGAGCATGAGAACTGAATGCAGTTCTTCGAAGGTGAGCGCAATTGCTTACGAGGGGTCATCTCAACATTAGAACGTTCAACGCTGCTGTCTGTGCGGAGTTGCACACGTGCGCGCGCGCGTGTGTGTGTGTGTGTGTGTGTGTGTGTGTGTGTGTGTGTGTGTGTTGCTCAAAAATAGGGATTCACTGGCCAGAAAATGTCACTCCAAATAGCTGTATGGTGTAGACCAGGCTGAATAGTGACGGTCAATTCTTCAGCCTTGCAAGCTGTTGAATGGTGTAATCCCAGCACAAGTTGCTATGGCTTCTGCCGTAGCATTGCTATCATCGCCTCCGGCGATGGGCGTCAAAGGTCAGGTGTGTTGCTCTGTCTGTGGTGGGCACGTAATCGTTCCCGCACGTACCTAACAGACAACCACGTTCAACAAGTCTTGACTTTGAAGACCCATGCTAACATGTCACCTAGAATATAAAATCAGCTGCCCAATCATTTCCTTCTGAGAGCCAGACAGGGGTGGCATTGCACTGTCCGTGATATCATTTAGTTGACAACTTCTAAAAACTATTCAATGTAGAGTAAAGGTCCCTGGCTGGTCTGTTTCGGTACGCTGGCAACTTAAGTACGTGGCAACGGGCAGGTTAAATCTGGCTCTGAAAATGTGTATGGATCATGCCAGAAGTACGAGGGGCATACCGCCAAATATTTTCAAGAGTCCAAAAAAGGGTACCTGAACTGGGGTTCGAACCACACAGTGCACTGTGGCAGGCGGGGTCAAACGAATTCAGTGCTTTTGGGGCAAAACCTGGCCGAAATCCTATTCTTGTTAGGGCTTGCTTTTTGGTGAAATATACTTCAGAAACATAATTGGAAGAGGATTCCATAGGGAATTGCAGAAAAGTTTTTTTAACTCAAAGTTTGGCCCATTTCCATGTATGGGCAAAAGCTAGAAGTCGCTCTTGTTTTTTGAATGGACCGCAGAGCTCCACTCGCAGTAGATTCTGAGCTGCTGTTTCTTCTTGTGTGTCTGCTTCTGCCATTGTCTTCCCCCCTTTGCAGCATAGTGTGGTAATTGCTGGCGCCCGGTCGACTTTCTCTCTATTACTGGTGCTGATAGCCGCGTGTTCAGCGTTAGTCCACGCCGGCAATAGCACCGATGGCAGCGGCACTACGTCGTCAACGGGTACGTTCTGTGTGTGTGTGTGTGTGTGTGTGTGTGTGTGTGTGTGTGTGTTCATCAGCCTTGCAAGCTGTTGAATGGTGTAATCCCAGCACAAGTTGCTATGTCTAAAACATAGCTGTTCGCTATCATCGCTCCCGCGATGGGCATGTCTGAGGTCTGAGGTCTGAGGTGTGTGTGTGTGTGTGTGCATGCTCTACATGTGTGATATGTAGCCTGAAGATCATCATGGACCGTTTTCAGCTTGTTTATATAATAGAGAGGTTAAGATGCACGTTATTTCCGACGTGACGCTCAATTTCACGTCATATTTGGCGTAAAACTCCAAGTTTCGACGTGAGCTGCAGGTCACTCACGTTGTTCTACAGTCGTGCGAGCTCGCGCGGTATGCAGCACATGGACTTCGCCCGCCCACGAATATTCGAACCTTCGACCTAGATTCTATCCGATCGATTATTCGTTGAGGTCCAAGAGATCGAGGAAATTCGAATAATTGATTACTGTATAGCAGGAAATTTTCGGACGGAAATATTTTCGGACAAAGCCGAATTTCGACCTTTCGTACGGATTATATTTTCGTACAGTGCTGCATGCTAAATACACGTGTTCGCAAGCAGTACGCATGTATAGTGTACATAATTTCACAGGAACAAATTTTAAACTCGGATGTTGAGCCATAAATAAATGTAGAAAGGAAAAGGACATAAGGATACGAGTTAAGAGTAACTCTCCATCACTGTAACTGGATACTATATACGCTATTATTGCACTATTGTACTGTTATTGCACATTCTGACTGTATATAGTATCCAGTTACAGTGATGGAGAGTTACTCTTAACTCGTATCCTTATGTCCTTTTCCTTTGAACAAATTTTAGTACGGAATTAATTTTAGTACAAAAGAGGCCGTGTACGAAATCGTACGAAAATAAATTCCGTCCGAAAATTCCCTGCTCTACAGTATTCGTTACATCACTATCAACTATTACCTCGTTACGTACCTCCATTGAGGAGCTCTGGGTGAACGAAACACACCTGTCCGGAGGATATGCAATAGCCAGCCAAGAACGAAATGCCTCGCTATGGCGTTGTAAATGTGGGCCAAGAGGGCAGTGTGGAGTGTTTCAAAATTTCAAATGGCCAAGTTCGTCGCAGTTTCAACGTTATTTCTCTGCCAGCATTGAATATTCATGATGATGCAATGGAGTCATCAATCAGCATTGCATATTTGGAATATTACAAGTTGATTTGTTGTGCTCCGCCGTATTCCGTGTTTTCAATTAATTATTTCCTTGGCTCACCATCCGAGTGATTAAAACAAATTCATCATTCTGAACCGTTGAGTTATTCGTGGTCCACAGCGAGATGATTTCTCCATTTTTCCTAATTGGACTGTTTTCTGTTGTGTTTGACAGCGTCTACTTGTTTGCGTATGATTGCATGTGTATGTATGTACGTGCGTGTGTGTGTGTGTATGTGTATGTGTGCTTGTGATTGCATGTGTGTGTATGTGTATGGATGTGTGTGCACGTGTGGGTGTGTCACGCACATATCTCTGTGCGTGTTCACGTATGTGCACATGCATTTTTGACTTTTTTTGTCCATTTCTTTTTCGGCCTGGCTCGTCGCACATGTGCACAGGCGTGGCGGCAGCTAGCATGATCCGCACCATCACCATCACCAAGTCGTTGCACGTGTTTGAGAACGACACGGTTTCACTACAGTGTGATGTGGACAGCGACTCCCTGGTCGATGTCGTCTGGATGCACGCCGCCTATCAGTTTGATCGCGATCGCGTCGGTCCGCTGACAACACTCACCGGCAATGGGCACGTATCAAACTGGACGGAGGGGAAACTCACGGCCAATGGTAGAGTCATAACGCGGTCCGTGCTGACCGTCTTGATGGTGGGTCCGTCAGACACTGGCCTCTTTGCATGCTTTGCAACGACCAATAAGACAATGTTCGGGTTCACCACGGCTGTTTCCAAGTTCAACGAATCGGCGGAAGCGGAGGATCTTGTGAGCGATGACACCATCGCTGACAACGGCGATGTATGGGATTTTTATATTTACTGCAACGGCAATTGGAGTCGATCAACCGTGCCGACATGCGACTCACCCTTTGCCATCGCGTCAACATCCTTGCACGTGCTCTGTGAGTTGCTGTTGCTTTTTGTTCCTAGTGTTGCTAGTAGTGTTGTTGTTGCTGTTGGTTGTTGCTGTTGGTTGTTGTGGTGGTGGTGGTGGTGGTGGTGGTGGTGGTGGTGGTGGTGGTGGTGGTGGTGGTGGTGGGGTTGGTCGTGGTGCAGTCGATACCGAGATGAGGGAATTTACCGGGGTCTGTGGTAGATTACCACTTGACGCTCAAAGTGAAGTTTGAATTTTCATTCTCCCCACATGTGTGGTGTGGTCGCGATTTTAGTCCTGAACAATTTTCTTTTTTCGTCAGGCACCGAAAATTTGCCGCAGTCTGACCAGGTGCTAAGGCCCTCATCAGACTACGTACATAGAACATCCAGTACAAAATCACATAAAACCTAAAAGGCAACATTTTTCCTCGCCTGCATTCAGACTACACATTTTACATGCAATATACAGGCAACCTTTGACCCTACGCAATTGCGCAATGGGCATATGGGATGCATGAAAGCAGAGGACAGTCGTACCTGGGTACAAAGTTTGTACGACTGCCTGGTGAAAGTACGATAAATGCAGGAAAGTTGCCTTATTAGTTATACAGGGGTTCGCACCCTGCCTGAAAGGATTGGGCAGCTTTTTAGGCTTCCCGCCAGGTTCTTGTTGTCTTGGAAACTTCTATGTAAATGTGACTTATACTTATAGGCTGTTTTGTACCTAGTCTGATGAGGGCCCAGGCTTTCACCTGCGTTGTACGGTTCTTTTCTGGAGGACTGATTTTCCCGCCGTGAGTGCACATACAAATGTGTATGGGTACGACGAACAGGACGTACAACTCGTGCATGACTGAGTTTGTACATGATATTTTTAAGCCCGGGTTGAGTTCGACCCCGGCAAATTTCAAACCGCCATGAACACAGGTTGACTGGGCCGTTTAAAGGGGCACTCCGGGAATTTTTTCGGTGGTGTGTTCTCTTCGTGGGGGCCTTATATGGCCCCAAGGAATGGGGAATCGCGAAAACTAGACCCAAAAAGTCGATATATGAAGCCAGGGGGGGGGGCAAGTTTGTCTCCTCTTTTGATGGTTTTGATGACGTCACGTGTGATTAGTATTCGAATTCTCTGCATTTGAAGAACTTAGTTGTTTGAATTTTCTGGTGATGAAGAACGATGTTTGGTCGACATTCCCAACCTTCACGACTGCGGACATACTCTAAGGAACCTGAAGGACCCCTTGAGGTGCCCCTGGTAGAAGCGCAGCCTGATGAGGGCCAGGAGATTGGAGCGGACGACTTCACTAGTCCGAGTACGAGGATCCCGAAATTCTCTATACGCCGTGAGGCATATGGTCAGAACAGTTTTGTTTAGACAAGCTGACGCGAAGTCGGGGTGATGTGTAACGCATGTCAAAGGGCTGTCAATGCTAACAGCTGCAGCGCTCTCTCGACAGCTAAGGTAATCGACTGCCCTCTGCATCACCCCACATTTCTGGCAGGAACACCAATCGTTATTTCCTTGTCGACCAGTGAAGTCGTCCGCTCCAATTTCCTGGCCCTCGTCAGGCTGCGCTTCTACCAGGGGCACCTCAGGAGGTCCTTCAGGTTCCTTAGAGTATGGTCGCAGTTGTGAAGCTTGGGAATGTTGACCAAACATCGTTCTTCATCATCAGAAAATTCAAACAACGAAGATCTTCAAATGCAGAGAATTTGAATACTAATCACACGTGGCGTCATCAAAACCATCAAAAGAGGAGACAAACTAATACTTGGCCCTCCCTGGCTTCATATATCGACTTTTTGGGTCTAGTTTTCGCGATTCCCCATTCCTTGGGGGCCATATAAGGCCCCCATGAAGAGAACACACCACCGAAAAAATTCCCGGAGTGCCCCTTTAATTGGCGCAGTGCGCTTGACCCGAGTTGAAATCGAGAAATCGTATTACCGTACTTTTTTTACCGTACTTCTTCTTTGCCAATATTCCGCCAGGCTTGCGCAGCACTGCACACTGACAGGCAAACTTCGTGTGAAAGTAGCCATGTGAGCTTGCCGGGGAAAAGTGGACTTTTGTCGGCGGATAAGTAACTTTCCCGGGTCGACTGTCTTCATGTAGACATAGACCAATATTTCCCCCTGTACAGACTTTCAACCCGGGTGTAACTCCACCAGGGTTGAACATTCTCATGTAGGCGCAGTCTAAGAAAAGACGGCCTTTTCAGCATGCCCTGATTAAGTGTTCCTCCTGTTGCTGTACCAGGTGTGCAATATCAAGACTCAAGACTATATATTGTGTAAAGTACTGTAAAACATGTAATTTTCGGTGTAACTTTAATTTCGGTGATTTCGGTAGAGAAACCAGGCACCTAAATTTAAATTACACCTAAAGGCACTAGAGTATGCACTGTATGTGAAGGGAACGCTGGTCACCTAATTCTACATTACACCTGAAACCTGGCAGGTCCCTGGCGCCGAAATTTTAATGCACCCAAAATTGCATGTTTTACAGTAGCGGGAACAGCAGACATGCCAACTGAACGCTCTCCCGGGCTGCCATCACACTTAGTTCACTGACTCCCGTTTACGTCCACTGTGAAAATTCCAAAAGCGGATTGCCGCTTCATCACATAGTCACAGTTCTTGCCCAGTACACGTGGTCGCGCCTTGTTTTTGGAGGCATTTGGAAATTCAAGCGCACGAACAAGGTCACTGGGAAAAAGACTGGGAGTTCTACGCACGCTCATCCATTTTAGCGGTATGCTCCCTGCCATGTCTAGGCTTCCCATTTCGCCTCCTCCCGTTTTCACGCTGTACATGGATCAACATGGCAACCGGACAAAAGTCCCTTACGTGGACGTAGATGCAGCACTTTTTGCCGTAGTGCAATGTAGTAAAAACTGTGACTAACGACCAGCCCTTGGTGGCCAGAGAAAGCGGTCTTTAGTGGCAGGTGGTCCTTAGTTAGAGGTTTGCACCCCACAACTATATGAATGTGAGACCGTCCATGCCTGGTGAAGTGGTCTTTAGTAGCAGGCTGGTCGCTAGTCACGGTGGTCTTTAGTTACAGGTTTTACTGTATCAGAAAGAGTTCATAACCCCCAAGAATGTGCAACTCCTGATCAGTCCCTGTATGGAAGCCCGTTCAGCGGAATTCCTTCATTGCGTCATTTTTGGTGCAGTGCGATGAGTCACGCTGATGAATTCTTCTAAAATTTAGTAATTTACAGTCAAACCGGGATGCTTCCTCAGGGTAAACCGCCTAAACTGCGATTCTGATCTGAGTGATCAAAAGACAAAACAAAGCGCACCATCCTCGGCTAAAGACAGAACTATTTTTTTGATGCCAGTGGTGACTCTTCATCGCCTTCTTCTTCCGCCAGTGCAGTCAGTCTCTTCAAAAACTATTTCTTCCCCAGGCCCTCGGCATTTTTCCGGTGCTTTCCTCGAAGATGATTTCAAATGATGGAGGAAATTGAGAATGCGTCAAAGGAACATTTCTCGGCTGAGTTGCACAGCTATCAGAATGATTATCCTCGACGGCAATCCAATATTTTTAACAGCGTCCTCACTCCTTCATGTCGATGTTAATGGATTCGTGGAGAAAGAGTTTGTTTTGAGACATTACGACTTGTACGTCCGAATTGTCTTAAAAAAGCTTCGAGATGTCGAGGCTACAGCCTTGGGTTAGAAGCGGTTCCGGGCATAGTTTCCAGAAATCGCAAGGAACCCGAATTTACCTCGGATGACAAGTTGCGTATGATGTAATGTAGGAATTTCGCCGAGCGCTGGGTGAATGCCATTTGCACACACTTGGCGGCTATGAACTCTTGATATCAGCCTGAGCTACATTTTTCCAGGTGTGTGCATGTTTTCTTTACCACCATGTCTCCGGTATCAATTTCATGATGCTGCATTGGAGTCTTCACCTCACCTAGGGTAGGAAAAAAACAGAGAGCAAAAGTTAGCCAGATTCGCGCCAGCATCACCGGACTTGTTGAGGGACGCATCAAGCAAAGAGATTCGCATCGGCGGGCCACCACTTCGCCCATATATCCTCATAATCGAATACGGACCTTACAAGTGATTCAGGGGAGAGGGGATAAGTCTTTCAAACAAGTGGATGTGTAACAGACCTCTAAACCGCATCATTGTTATCCTCACTCTGAGCAAGTAAGGTAGAAAAGGCTTTTCAAATTCCGTTGGACTTGATACTAAGGGGCCGTTTACATGGGGAAAATAAGCCCGGGCCTATTCGCCTCAGGCTTATTTTCAACCATTTGCATGACAGTTATACAGGGATGAGTTCAGGTAAGACATGTGACTGTGAGTTCTGCGCGCATTTTATTTTTCAAATCGCACACGAACACCGTGGTAAATGTTCGTGTATGATGAAATTTGGATCAAGAAGTACCGGCTCGCGCTTCTATTGCTTTTCTGATAGTCACTTATTTTTTTGAGAAGGTGAAGGATCGGCGATGCATTTTCGCATTGAAGTCGACCGATAGATCCAATTCTTTGCCTCTGATTAAAGAGGAAAAAGAAGAAAAGGTCAAACTTTACTTTATGTTTTGATTGGGAATATACAATATAGTGTGCTGTGTGCTGTGTGCCGTGTGCTGTGTGTATTCTGTATACATCGTGTTGCCAGTTGCTCCCCGCATTACCACTGACCTGGACTTGGAATACGCCGTGCCGAGCGGCGAGTGCCTGACGCTCAGCTGCGCGGCGTTCGGCAGCCCTCCCCCGCTCGTCCTCTGGTCGACGCGCTACATTTGGTGGACGGGCGACGGCATCGACAACGTGCTGCACACCAGCACGCACCCGAACCAGGTGGCCACCGTGCGCAGCGTGTACCACACGCACACCAACCTGACGCTGTGCGACCACGGGCACGACCTGGACTACAACGGCATCGTGGTGCAGTGCCTCTTTGCCGACCAGGTCAGCGACAGCCATGCAACATCACGCGTCGCCATTATTCATCAGTATAGTGAGTCTAGCTACACATCCTTCTCAACGTGCACAAACTACAGACTATTGTCAGGTGCACCTTTCTCAACGTGCACACACTACAAATTATTGTCAGGTGCTCCTTTCTCAACGTGCACAACCTACGCATGCAACATCACACCTTTCTCAACGGGCACAAACTACCAACTATCGTCAGGTGCGTAGTCCGGATGGGGAAAGGGGGAGGGGGCACGTGCACCCCCTAAACGTTCGACCAAGGTTCAGCATGCACGTAATGACCATGAATGCCATGCACTAGCCATCCCACGTATACGCGGCCGTGCACCCCCGCCTAACAGGGGAACCAGCGCGACGCATCATGTTATCATACAATACAGCTATACATGATGTGCATCCTCAGAACACACATTTTAAAAAACATTCCTTGCACTACACACTTTTCTCAATGTGCACAGACGCCACACCATAATCATCCATTGCAACCGTACACAGGAGTGTCGGAAATGCTGCAGTCATTGCGGAGACTCCCTCGGTTTAGGCCAAGGGCTGTGGAGAATCCATAAATACAAATACAAAATTACCGTCTTAGCCATACCACAATATTTGCCTCAGGCACCCTGCGAATCAATAATATACGCTGATTTGGGCTCCAAATTTTTCAGATTTTTCAGCAGAGACCCCGGCCACCTCGAGTATACACACCTCAGTCTCGGATGCCTGACGGTATCAGCCTACTAAACTTTCCGACACCCCTGAGACATGCTCACAACACAACACCTCTTGAAACGGTATCTGGGCTTCAACTTTCTTTCTGTGTGTGTGTGTGAGGGGGGGGGGGGGGGTGTTAACCCGAAACGAGCTTTTTGTCTTGTTTTGGCCCAATAGAAAAGCTTCGTAATGCTTCCGCATTTCAATAGATATGGTTTTTCCTTCCGGCAACAGTACATGTATTAGTATTACAGCCAGGTTAAAATAGTAGGGTGTGGGCATGGGAAACATTTGCCCGGTAACCTGTGTTTTAATTTTCCAAAAATTGCCTTGCCATGCCAAATGCAAAGTATGAGGTAAACCCCCGACTTCACCCCAGACAAATGTGTCTTTGTGAGCTCTCTAGTCCTGACTATAGACTGCCTTTTCGGTGAGAGGCATGAAAAAATACCCCACAAGCATCGGCAAGTGAGTAGGCACTCAATCAGAGTAGGGGTGCCCATCCTCCTTTGGCTTGAACCCTGAGACAATGTTAAACTTTTCGGGTCTAGCATGTTTCTGGTGGTGATGGTGGTGGTAATGGTGGTGGTGGTAATGGTGGTGGTGGTGGCAGTTGGCAGTTGGCACTCACCATGATCTGGTCATCTTTTTCCAACTGGGGACTCTTCTAGCAAGATAATGTATTGTGCACCAGCTGCTTCAACAATCAGTTGTGTGTGTGTGTGTGTGTGTGTGTGTGTGTGTGTGTGTGTGTGTGTGTGTGTGTGTGTGTGTGTGTGTGCGTCTCTGGCCAGAAAGGTCACTTCAAATAGCTGTATGGTGTAGACCAGGCTGAATAGTGACGGTCAATTCTTCAGCCTTGCAAGCTGTTGAACGGTGCAATCCCAGCACAAGTTGCTATGGCTTCTGCCGTAGCATTGCTCTCATCGCCTCCGGCGATGGGCGTCAAAGGTCAGGTCAGGTGTGTGTGTGTGTGTGTGTGCGCGTGTGTGTGTGTGTGTGTGTGTGTGTGTGCCAGAAAAAGCCACTTCAATCAGCTGTGTAGTGGATACCAGGCTAAAAATTAGTGGCGGTCAATTCATCAGCCCTGCAAGCTGTTGAATGGTGTAATCCCAGCACAAGTTGCTACGTCTAACATAGCTGTTCGCTATCATCGCTTGTGCGATGGGCAGGTCTGAGGTGTGTGTGTGTGTGTGTGTGTGCCTACATGTGTGTCCATGTGTGTGTGTGTGTGTGTGTGTGTGTGTGTGTGTGTGTGTGTGTGCATGTGCATGTATTTACACGTGTCTGTGGGGGATTGTGCATCTCACTCGCCCCTGTACACGTTCACACTCAATTCACCCTGTGTGTGTGTGTGTGTGTGCATGTGTGTGTGTGTGTGTGTGTGTGCATGTGTGTGTGTGTGTGTGTGCTTAATATCTGACTGGCAGATCAGTCCACCACACGCATGTCACGCACCGGCATTGGAATTGGGGTGAGCATCACCACACTCTTCATGGCTCTGCTTACCATTGAGTGTATCCGACGGCGACGAAGGAAGGCAAAGTCCATGGCCGCGAGGAATGTGGATGGTACCCTTACCGGTGAGTACTTGAAGTACAAACAAGAGTACATAAACAAGAGTACAAAAGGAAAAGAATGGGATACGGAGCTTGGGTTGGCTGTGACTCCGAGTTTCACGCCTGTGGCGATCATCAGACATCCCATTCTTTTCCTTTTGTATGAAGCTCTGCACCCCGGTGCATTGAGCACTCTTTTGAGGACCACACCCAACTTTCCGTGTGTAAACAAGAGTATATAAGACCCTCTTCAGACTAGGTACAAAACAGCCTATAACTTTGTATAAGTCACATTTACATAGAAGTTTCCAAGACAACAAGAATCTGGCGGAAAGCCTAAAAAGCTGCCCAATCCTTTCAGGCAGGGTGCGAACCCTTGTACAAGGCAACTTTCCTGCATTTATCGTACTTTCTGACCAGGTAGGTGTACGAACGTACAGACTTTGAACCCGGGTACGACTGCCGGCTGCTTTCACATATCCCAGGTCCGTTGCGCAATTGCGTAGGGTCAAAGGTTGCCTGTATATTGCATGTAAAATGTGTAGTCTGAATGCAGGCTTGGAAAAATGTTGCCTTTTAGGTTTTATGTGATTTTGTACTGGATGTTCTATGTACGTAGTCTGCAGAGGGCCTAAGGCTGCAACCACACTAGGTACAAAATCACGTACAAACGGCATTACAGTGGAAATCGTCATGCCGACGCGTGCGAAATGCAAAATGCGCTTTGTAGGCTTTCAGCAACTGACGCACGCACCCCTGTAGAAAGCCACGTTTGTCTTTTTCGTCGTTTTCGCGCTCCTTCTCCTCTGTACAACTTTGCTTTTGTACCGGGTCATCGTACATAGCATCAGCATCAGCATTGTTTTTGAATTTCCCGGTCTTTTTCCAGCGCATGGCACACGCTTTGGTACGACAACGTCACGTGCTGGTCGCGTGAAAACGTCATCTATGCAGACCGAAACGTGTAGTGTGGTTACGTACCGACTTGTACTGAGATATGCATGACAATTTGTACTGTGATCTTTACGTAGTGTGGTTGCGGCCTAAACAAGAGTACATAAACAAGAGTACATAGGGCCGTCATCACACTACGTTCTCCGACTCCCGTTTAAGTCTACGTCTATGGTGAAAAACCAAAACGGGTGGTCGTGTCATCAGACAGGCACAGTTCTTGACGCGTACACGCAGTCAGGTTTTTGGAGAAATTTGAACCCACGTACATCGAAGTACAGGGTCGCTCGGAAAAAGGCTGGGGAGATACGCACGTTTATACAAAAAGTCGTATACCCCCCCCCCCCCTCTCCATACCACGTCTATGTTTCCCGTTTCCTCTGTTCCCATTTTCACCCCGTATACGGATCATCATGACAACCGACCAAAAACTCCTTACGTGGACGTAGACGCAGCGCTTTGTACCATGGTGTGATGACAGCCTAAACAAGAGTACATAAACAAGAGCACATAAACAAGAATACAGGTGAAACCTGGTTTCAGCGACCACGTATGGCTCCAGCCCAAAGTGGTCTTATAAACAGGTGGTCTTTCAAAGCAGGTGATATCCCTATAATGGTGATATTGGTATCAAATGAATCCTCGCACTGCGTGCTGTGCATTGGTGAAGTGCATAACTTAGAGGGGGAGTGATATACTGAAGTACTGATACATGTACATCACTACACAGCACTGTACTACTTGTAGTGGACAAGAAAGACCACCTGTTTATAAGACCACCTGCTTTGAAAGACCACCTGTTTATAAGACCACTTTGGGCTGGAACCATGCGTGGTCGCTGAAACCAGGTTTCACCTGTACTGAAGTCGTGAAGTGGTCGTTGCACTGGCGATCGGTACCAGTTGTAAGCCGGTCGCTGGTCGCGTCGAGCGAGTGGTCGGTGAATGCGAGTCAGAATGTACGTGAAACGGACGGTGCCAGACAAATACGGTCGTCCACAGCAGGTGGTCGCTGAGTCCAGGTGGTCTTTGGAGCAAGTTTTACCTGTACATAAACAAGAGTACATACTAGTAAACAAGAGTGCTCTAATTTCAGAAATTTTAGGTGCACAATATTTTCGGCATGAGGGCAAAACGCCAGGTTAGGTGAACAGAAATTTTCGGTACAGGGAAGCAGTTCCCTATTGGGTTATGTGTGTTAGTGTTTGTTTGGTGTATGGGAATTTTAGGTATGAAACAGACACACCGAAAGTACCGAAAATAAAAGAACGCCGAAAATTTGTGAAATTACAGTATGCAGTTGTGGTCGTGGGTCATTATGTAACTTGCCGCCATCACGCTCTGAAAGGATGTACTCACATCCACAATTTCTCGTACCAGCACATCCGTTTTTGCTCGATTCATTCCAGTGCCTACACGATCTCTATATTTTCAGAGCGTGAACCGCAGTTGCGTACGAAAGTTTTTTTCAAACCAGAGAGAAAGCAGTGCATTGTTTGATTTCCCGCAGTGAGCAGACAGCAGCTGAATGATGTTATGAAGGCAGGGCGCCACGCATCTGGTTCATAGAAAAGCGATCACAGTTGCGCACTCTTGTTTATGGACTCTTGATAGTATAAGTTGTCCAAGCTGCTCTGATTGCTTGCTCCAATCAAGATCACCACCCAGTGAGTGCATTTGATTTCGCCCACAAATCGCCGTTGAATCCATTCATGAATCACCCCTGGCTATTCACATCACCCCATGTGAATAGGGTGAATGGATTCGGAACCGATTCCAGGGCTCATGACATGAAATCGAACGACGAGATTCCACTCGTGAATCGATTCGTGGCAGTAATCAAACTCACCCATTGGATCACTCCGCATCCACCAATCATGTATGTTCGCACCGCAGTCGTGGCCCTCTCGGCGTAGAAGCTCGACAGTCAAAACGTCAGCCTGGGGTTCACACTCGTCTTGCTTATGGGACTGACGATAATAGCGTGGCTTAATTTATGTCCATGTGTATGCATATTGGAAAGGTATTCAGCTCAGCTTTCCAGCGATATAAAGTTCTTTGCGATAGGAAAAAGATTGACGGAGCAGTGGAACGGAGCAGTTTCTGTTGCGTGCCAGGGGATTTCCCTTTGGCACAGCGCATGCGTAATGGACACCAGCGGAAGCACGTGGATCTCTGCTTTGCAGCGCAGTTTGAATCATGAAAATCGGCTGACCTGGAGCAAGAAACTGAAAAAGGATGTGAGATTGAGTTCCTGTGCCTTCCGAGGCATCGTGATGTAGCTTCAAGAGGACGTAGAAGTTGCAACGCTGTGCACATTGAGTTGAGAGCAACCAGGATGGATTCACTTGGTCCTGATCTTTCCAACAACCTCAGGGTGATGAAAATCCATCGGGGTAAACTGAAATGAGAGAAAACGACACCAGGAGAGTCAGTGCGCTGGAAAGTCAGTTTGCTGGAGTAAAGGGGGCCAGCACGGAAAGGGCTAAAACACGCTTATGTGCTGGCAGTGTATCTTGAAAAATCAGGCTTGTATTCAAAACAGTCTTCTTACAGGGGACCAGGTCAGGCTATCCCAGCTTCAGAGAGGAAAACTTTCAGTTTGGTGCAGCACTTTTTTGTTGAAGCGTTTCCAGTGGGCAAAATCGGCTGGGAAGACTTCTCCAGGCTGAATCCTTGGAGTGGCCATATGTCGTTGTGATGACTGATATTCACACAATGTTGAGAGCATTCCATGAATAGTCAATTGGTTATAATAGCCCAAAATTTTGTCCAGGTAAATGGTATAGCCGTCTGAAAGGCATTCTGTAGTTCCTCGAAGCCGACTTACAAAAAAACCCACGCCATGTTTTGTGAATAATTCACCTGCCTGGGTGAACTGTTTAGTCTGCTGTGCACTGATTGCACACCATTGTTTGAGTGTGTGCTCTCTCTATCTATCTATCCCTCTCTCTATCTATCTATCCCTCTCTCTCCCTCTCTTTCTCCCTTTCTCTCTCTCTATCTCTCTCTATCTATCTATCTATCTATCTCTCTCCCTCTATCTCTCGCGCTCTCCCTCTGTCTCTCTGTCTGTCTCTCTCTCTCTCTCTCTCTCTCTCTCTCTCGTCATATCTCCAGATGCACGTGGCCTGAGTCATGACACTACTACTACCAACATGGTCAAAACCATCGCCAACCCTGCCAACACCACCAACATCAAAATCATCAAAACCAGCAGCAGCAACAACAACATCATCAACAGCAACAACAGCATCAACGACAACAACAGCAACAAGATCAGCAGCAGGCGCGGCAGTAGCAACAACACCGCTGACGCGAGCGTGGACCAAGCGGTTTCCATCACAAAAGCCGACCGTGGAAGCAGCGAAGTTTCCAGCAAGAGCCACCACAGCATCAAGGATCTGATCGTCGCCGGCATTCGTCACTTGAGCGGCGATCGTCTTCACGCAGACGACGCACGACGCAGCTCGGCAACGTACGACTCGTGCGAGAAGCGTGCCTCCGAGGCAAACAGCGCCTTCTCGGAGCTCTGCGACGCGAGTATGAAGAGGGAGATGGACGTACAGAGCAGTCGGCGTGGCGGCAGCTCCATGACCGATAGGTCCAGCAGGTCACATGTACCCTGCTCTCGCCACTGCAGTAACATCTCACTGGTCAGTGCCATGAGCACGGATGTCATGCTTCCTACGATCATCTGTCTGGAAGCTATTGACCCGGTAGCTGCCCTCGATCAGCAGGAGTTCCACTCGCTCCAGCTGTGCACCGTGCAGGCGGCAGCGGAAGAAAGCTTCGAGACGGCCTCATTGCCGGTCACTTACTCCATTGATCATGCAACGGAAACGTCGTCCGGCACGCCTACGGCAAAACCAGACATGCTTGGCACCTGCTCATCGCTGGACACGTCACCACCCAAGCTGAGCAAGGCTCTTTCAGTGAGAACGGACGGATCGACCCTGACGACGGTCATGTCTCTGGGTTCGGAAGACCTGCTGGATGCCTCTCCGTCCAAGTTAAGTTCAGCATTGTCGGTACAAAGAACAGCAACCACCTTGACCACGGTGGTCTCCCTCGGCATGGAGGAGTTAGAGGAATGCGATTTGAGTAGTCACACCTCGTCAACCCCTCTGTCCCAGCACTTCATACCCAAGAGCAGCAGTTCACCTGACAACAATATTGACAGGCATATGGGTGGGTGCCGAGTCAGGAATCCCTCAGCGACGTCGGCTCCCAGCACGAGCTCAAGATCGCCCGTACTCGCCCCGGCTCCCGGTACTGGGGCGGGTGCGTTCGACGCACGCCTGGCACCCAGGTCGATGCCGTGTGAGTACAATTTGTCCGCAGTGGGCACGGACGCGGCCATTGGTCGTAGCGCCAGCTTCACGGCACCAGGCCAGTTCCCTCCGCCGCTGGAGTACACCATGACGACTCGCAGCAAGCGATGAGCCGCACGCCAAGACAGCGGCAGCCATGAATAGCCAGTTGCTAGCTGTCTCCTTCGAGATGCTAATCAGTTCCACGCCATGCCATGGGCGCATGGTGACCAGCCGCCTCTGTGGATGAAGACCGCGGCACGGAAGTCCGTCAAGTAAACCAGTTAGCTAATTAAGTAGTGATAGTGCAAGTAGTTGTGCATTTCCTCTGAACCTGCGCTCTGCAGTTCGGAGATACGCATACGTTGTCCATGGCTTGCTGCTCTGCAGGCTCCATCTATCCTTTTCCTCGGCGAAGTGTATGCACAGACTAACAACAGCACCCCTAGGGAAGAGTCTCTTCTCACGAGCCTCAGATTACATACCGCTCATGAGACCACATGACATACGGCTCTGCAGACCACAGGACGCACGGCACGGGTGATCACATGAGATACTACTCATAAGAACACTGACCTGCTGCTGTAGTGATCCCATGACATACTCCTAGCCTATCACATGATATACTGCTGTGCAGATCACATGGCATACTGCTCAATCGATCACATGATATGCTGCTCGAATGATCACATGGCATACTGCTCAAATGATCACATGGCATGCTGCTCAAATGATCACATGGCATGCTGCTCAAATGATCACATGATATGCTGCTCAAATGATCACATGACATCCTGCTCAAATGATCACATGACATCCTGCTCAAATGATCACATGATATGCTGCTCAAATGATCACTAAGTCTTGATGTGTTGCTCAAATGATCACATGACATCCTGCTCGGGCGATCACATGGCATACTGCTCTACAGAGCACATGAGCATGCTAGCCACAGTCAAATGGTGATCTTTGCCGTAATACGCTATATAAAATTTTAAAGAACTAATGAAAATCTCTTCTCTTGTGCATATAACCTTGCACATGCATTCATACTCTCTCTCTCTCATTCTCCCATTCTCTCTCTCATTCTCTCTCATTCTCTCTCATTTTCTCTCTCATTTTCTCTCTCTCATCCTCTCTCTCTCATGCTCTCTCATTCTCTCTCTCTCTCTCTCTCTCTCTCTCTCTCTCTCTCTCTCTCTCTCTCTCTCTCTCTCTCTCTCAGTCTCTCTAATTCTCTCTCTCTCTCTCTCAGTCTCTCTCAGTCTCTCTCATGCTCTCTCTCTCTCCTTCTCTCTCTCTCTCTCTCTCCTTCTCTCTCTCTCTCTCTCTCTCTCTCTCTCTCTCTCTCTCTCTCTCTCTCTCTCTCTCTCTCTCTCTCTCTCTCTCTCTCTCTCTCTCTCTCTCTCTCTGACAGCATATACTGTAATTCCAAGAACACGAGTAAAAACCCGATGCGGTGTCTGAATGCTGGTCAGCATGCCCTCGGGTCTTTCACATTGCATAGGGATGTGCTCGTGTGTGCGCCCACTTATAATAGTGTGAAGTAGGAGCCTGTGGCTAATAAGGCTTTGTTTACATGAGGCATTCCAAGCTGTGTCAAGTTTCAACCCGCCGTGAACTCAGATTATTTTACAGTACTGGATGTCAAGCACCGGCGAAGACACTGGGAACAGAAGATTTAACAACAACAGGAACAACAACAATAACAACAACAACAATGGTAACAAATTACCATCAAGATCAAAGGAGGAGTCAACGAACAGAGGTTAAGCAACATGAAGCGAGCCTGGGACCGATCGGTGTGGATGAGGAGAATGACACGGGGGACGACACTGAGGACGAGTTGGAAGATGAGATGGAGGACGAGGTTGCGGTTGGTGGAGACGAGGAATCGGATGGTGATTGTGATCGTAAGAAGTCTGCCGTTTTTCTTCATCCGTTGTCTCACCCTAAGTGTCTGCAGGTGTATGATGATTTTAGTTTTTCTGTTCTTTGTCGTGCACGGTACGCTAGTCAGTTGAAAGTACTTGAGGCTGTTTGTATTCGTTTGCATAAGCCTGATCTTTGTAAGCAGAAGAAACATGTAGTTGCGTTAAGTTGCGTTCACTTCACTTCTATTGTCTCACCTTCCCTCATTCTATTTTAGCACTTTGTTTTGTTCTCGTAACACATTATTGAATGTATATTAATCCTTGATTCAGCATGGTTACTCTTCAGTCACGGCTTTCCACTGATGATTGTGACAAGAAAATCGATTTTGGTAAACCTTCATGACTTTGTTGTAGTGTGGCGATGACAGCAGAATTTGTTCTCTTTGTAGAGGATATAACCCGAGTCAGAGGGTTATACCGGCTGAATATAAATCCCGACTGCGATAGCAGGAGGGATTTATATGAGGGTACGGTATAACCCGACTACGAGGGTCATATCCTACTTATGCCAGGTACCCCTACGCATTTCCAGAACAACGAACCTATTTGGAGATCTCCTACATCATGCAGTACATGAACATCTTCTGATGGTTATCAGTTGTCAATTGAAAGAATGGTCGAGCAAGGTCAGAAGGAGATTCCTGCGTGGATGTTTGGCATAAGATTTCCTTTCAGTTCCAGTGCATATTGTAGCATCTTCATGATCTTGTCTTGAGTCGTGAGTCGACTGAATTACTGCGGTGCTGGAGTTTGTCGTTGAATCAAACTACCGTCACTAGTTAGATTACAGCTTGGACTCTTTGGGAGTAAGTGTTACTATAATTATGGTACAGTGCTAATTTTCACATGCGGCATCTCATAATCAGTTTTGCTTGCAAGTAGATGCATTTGCATACACTGTTTTGTATCACATTTCAATCCAATCTATTGTAGCCTTTTCCAATCGGGTTGAAGTACATGTACACTGGTATTATTATTATTATTATTATACGCATTCCCGCGTTGAAGTGTAGCAGCAGTATGCTGCGTCCACAGCTTCGCTTATGCAGAATGGCTTGGGTGAGAGGAGAGGGGAGAAAAAGCAACAAGGCAACCAACATCTATGAAATTGGTCACAATAACATGAAGAGAACCAACCTACATATGCATGATTGCACAAGAATGGAGACGACCAAATATAATGGCTATAATCATTGTGCCACAAAACCGGTACACAGGAGATCTGACGACAATGTAACGAAACATAAAACTCAGTTACTCAATACAGGTTCCACTAAATTACAAGAAAACAACGCTACAACGTTAGAATTGCCGCTAAATTATCGCAAGTGTAGAGAACGAGTCCAATAAAAAATGAAAACCATGAACAGACTGTCCCGAAGTTATTTTGGGAACAAATTGTACTACATGACTGTACTTGCTGATACTGACGCTGACGGAACACGAATTAGAGTTGAATATTCACGAAGTCTTGTACATGCACATCATTATGCGCCGGTGTTGTGGAGTAAGCAGGTACGTCAGTCACCAATCCAGCTTCAGCTCCACGCTCGCTTCAGCAGAATGTTGCCCGCGTTTGCTTTGCCTCCACACGGATAGACGACCAGCGCAGAGTCCCGCAGCTCCGTGGCCGTAAGGTCTTGATATTCGCCGTTAGCGCCGTCAAGTCTCAGTCCACCTCTCACACCAAGCCGCCCTATAAAAATCTTTCTCTCTCCATTGGAGTGCTCCCCAGTTGCGCGAGGAGACTAGAGAAATTCCTCCGGTGAGCGAGGAAGAAGAGCGGAGTTACCCAACTCAACCACACTGGTATTATAAACCTATTTACGAAGGAGACAGTCTGTTGATGATCTTCAACTCTTCGAAGTACAATGTACATTGCTGACCCATTCGGGATACTTCGTGGTTATTCGACGTTCTTTATCCTCAGATTCAGTATAACAGAATACTCTGTACACGAATTCCAGGTCATTCTTCTTTTCCATTGTGTACTGTTCCTCGTCAGTGTGCCGTTCTGTGTGGAGTGTACACGCGCATGTGGTGTCCGTTGTGTCTGTTTATGTATGGTCCGTGCGCTGGAGTACTGCCGCCGTACAAGTAATAGTTCACTGCCTTTCTAGGCAGTGAACATGTACGGTGGCAGACTGGCAGTGCCCTAGCGTACGTACCATGCACCGGGATTTATATTCTATATACCGGTACATGTAAATCCCGCGCGGGATTTATACTGGCCAATATAACCATGGCTAGACGAGCGCTGATTGGCTGAAAACAGGCCCTCCGTACCGTACCATGGTATAAATAGCTATTATAAAATGTACTCTTCCTTGGCTTTCTCAGCATCATCATGTGTATGTTTTTCGAGGGTGTCCTGAGCCAAATGTGGATATATTGCACTATGTATGGGACGGATATACGATGTATGCGATGTACGAATTTACTAGACCTGTAATCAGCTAGCCCGGATTCGCGCTATGATCCAAGTTTGCAGCCTATATCAATCTTATCTTCTGAAAATTGTAGTAAAGTTGCTGTCTGATGATCGGTTAGAACCGTGAAACTCAGAGTTACAGCAGAAACGCTGTTGGTTCCTCAAAAGTGTGTGTAGACCTGTGTGTGTGTGTGTGTGTGTGTGTGTGTGTGTGTGTGTGTGTGTGTGTGTGTGTGCGTGTGTGTGCGTGTGTATGTGTGTGTCTGTGTGCGTGTGTGTGTACGGTAGCTGTATGGAGATGAAGCTGACTTCGAACATGTGTGTCTACATGAAAAGTACTAGATAATGCGGAAGCCGTACACATAACGCAATAACGCACCTGCCACCGGCATTCTGAGGAGAAAATGGCAATTCCCAAGTTCTCATTCCAGTTCGACACCCAAAATACTAGGTAGGTGAACTCGAAAGCAAACTTTTCGTATAATGCTTCACTTCCGCAGTTGTTGATATAATCTTCTTTATATTATTTTTTATAGATGTGAAGTGAAGCCTCGTGAAAGGTTCGCTTTCGAGTTCACCGCACCTACCTAGTATTTCGCGTCTCGAACTGGAATGTGAATATTGTTTGATGGCTGCTTGAGCTGCTGAACGCCGAAACACACAGGAGTAACGCAGACATGCGCAAACACACACGCATGTGCACACACACACACGCACACACACAAAGACATAATCATTATTAACACCCAAAACGTAACATAATAGCAATGAAAAGTATGAATGCCGCAGACATCACCACGCAACATGACAATTTGTTCAAGGTTTGGTTTTGTGTGTTTCCAAAATCGATTTTCACGTTGCGATCATCAGTGGAAATACGCAACTAAAGAGATCAAGGGAAAAACAAAGGTTAAAAATCCAAAGAAGTGTGACACATGACGGGTAACTTGTGGTAAGTATTACAAAAAGTGAGAACTAAAATAAAGAGTAAGTGTGACAAACGGGCATGAACAGTGCAGAAACAACTCATGAACACGGGGTGCAAACTCACGAAAATAACCTAAGTGCTAAAACATGTTCTTTTTGCTTACACAAATTAACCTTTGTTTTTCCCTTGATCTCTTTAGTTGCGTATTTCCACTGATGATCGCAACGTGAAAATCGATTTTGGAAACACACAAAACCAAACCTTGAACAAATTGTCATGTTGCGTGGTGATGTCTGCGGCATTCATACTTTTCATTGCTATTATTAAACTTTTATCTCCACGTAGATAAAACGTAACATACTTTCCTTTTTATTGAACCTGTCCGTGTGAACTGTATTTCTATCGAAATTACAGTAAAAAAAGAGAAATGCAAAAAAAACCCGGATAGTAATGCAACGGGAAGAAATTAAAGGAAAATGGGTGTCAACACCGGCGTCTAATGCCACGCCAGACAAGCCTCAGCCTGGACGAGGTCGATAGGCGCGAGGTCGAAGTGACGACGGCGAACAGAGCAATACAATTAATATGTGTGTGATATACAAGAGAGACACATACATGTACAACAGGGTACATTTTAAAAGGAAGAAAATATACAACACTACGAAGTAGTTTGTTTTTACGGGGTAACGGCCTCTTTTACGGGCAAAATAAAGTCATGTAGACGTGAAAAAAATTGAGATACCACGAAAGTTAAAATAGAATTTTATTCAAGTACAATACATTGGGAAACTCCAAGAAATTCCACGTAAAACAGACTAGTAGTAGTGGTTGCGACTTCGGCGATGATTTGTAAGAAAGGGTCTGCTCCCCACACCGGAGCTCGCGCTATTCCGCCGACTTTACTTGACACTTGACTGACTCTGGATGGCAGTCGTGAGTCAGTCAAGTGTCAAGTAAAGTCGGCGGAATACCGCGAGCTCCGGTGTGGGGAGCAAACCCTTTCTTAAAAATACACAACACATTTTAAGAACTCAGATGGTCAGCCAAGGAAAACAATTTTGTAACATGGAAAATGCGTCCCGGTAACTTGTGTCCACATTTTTCCATGTGACAAATAAAAACACATTGATGTGAAGAGGTTAATTTTAAGAAGTCTGAGTAGAGAAAGCGAAAAGGGTACTTGTAAAAATTACAAATACATTCACGGTTCAGGCTGTGAGACTCGGCTAGGAAACCGAGTTTTCCGCATCCGTAGGAATGCCACCACCCTTCGAGGATCAAGGCGCAGATGCAGCTCCCAAAGCGGTGGGAGGCGATTAGATCAGCTCAGCAGAAAGTGGTCAAAGACCGAAAATCCCATTCACTGCATCCATGTTCTCCTCGTGCCAGGCCACTTGCCAGGTACTTGTAAAGAAGTGGAGTAATCAGGAAGTGAGAAGACCTCGAGGATGGAATCCATACCTGTGGGAATGGGACTTAACGTGCCGGCTGAATACACCATAGCTTTCAGATATCCTGATCTCGGTAGGCAGAGAGTTCCACGGGGTGATCATGGAATGTAGCAGAGTGGAGCGGAAACAGGGACCAGTGTGAGACTGAGTGGACAGGAGGTAATAGTGAGGACGTCGTGCGGTCTTGGATATTGTGGTTTGCGTTTGGTGGCAAAGTCGTGTCCCAGCCTCTTGATGACCACGGCTGCTTCTGGGCCCATACCACCACAGGAGGAGAACACTACAGATGTGAAGGAGCCATGCTCGACTTCGTTGACACTTTCATCGTATACTCGTTCTTTTCTCGGCTTTAGTCCTTCGGTAGACTGGGGAGGGGATGGACTTGGCACGATAGCTTGACGCATGGGGATAAAGTACCCTTGTATCGAAGAATGCGTTGCAGCTATCGGTCCAGAATGACTTCGCCCGCAGGTCGGCATGGGCATCAGGATCAGTGTTGGCTAATGGATGGTGAAAGGTTTCGCCGGTTAAGGGGCTGCAATGTTGGCTCCACCTCCACATCATGATGGAGCTCCTTCATGCACGATGTGATGAAGTTCGTAGGGCCATTGTGTAGCAGGTGGACGAACCCCGAGAGCTTGCAAATTTGGGCATGGTCGACTGAAAACTTTGAGTCCCAGGGACAGGATGCTGGCAGGTTGTCCAGGGGCAAACTGTACAGGAGTTTTATCGTGAAAGTCAGCTTTCACATCAAAGCTGAAGGTTAGTGGACCCGCCCTTCTAGCCTGCCAAGGAGAAGGGCTCAGTGTTTTTTTTGTTTTTTTTTTAATACTAGAGCCACGTAAACACGTCATGTATGAGCCATGAATAAGGGGAGTGGTGGCGTGGTCTGGGATGCTCTGCCGACCTTGGGTCTCGCCTTCATCACAACCAGGTGCACCAATAGCAGAGAGAGAAAGAGAGAGAGAGAGAGAGAGAGAGAGAGAGAGAGAGAGAGAGAGAGAGAGAGAGAGAGAGAGAGAGAGAGAGAGAGAGAGAGAGAGAGAGAGAGAGAGAGAGAGAGAGAGAGAGAGAGAGAGAGAGAGAGAGAGAGAGAGAGAGAGAGAGAGAGAGAGAGAGAGAGAGAGAGAGAGAGAGAGAGAGAGAGAGAGAGAGAGAGAGAGAGAGAGAGAGAGAGAGAGAGAGAGAGAGAGAGAGAGAGAGAGAGAGAGAGAGAGAGAGAGAGAGAGAGAGAGAGAGAGAGAGAGAGAGAGAGAGAGAGAGAGAGAGAGAGAGAGAGAGAGAGAGAGAGAGAGAGAGAGAGAGAGAGAGAGAGAGAGAGAGAGAGAGAGAGAGAGAGAGAGAGAGAGAGAGAGAGAGAGAGAGAGAGAGAGAGAGAGAGAGAGAGAGAGAGAGAGAGAGAGAGAGAGAGAGAGAGAGAGAGAGAGACATAGACATAGACATAGACATAGACATAGACATAGACAGAGAGCTGCGGCAGGCGATTATTGTATGCTCGTTATCTCCTCAACAGGCGGCATGGGCAAGTCGGCAACAGCCTGCTATAAGCGGATTGCCGGGCTCCTGTCCGACAAGACGAAGGAGCCGTACTACAGAGTAATGGCGTGGATTCGCTGCCGACTTGGCTTTGCTCTGGTTTACTGAGGCGGCTCCAGCATGGTTTGTTTGCGTGGTGCTCGGCGACGCCCCATGCACGTCAGTGATGTGGCAGATGCATCTGCTACTTTGGCCGTTGCCGAGGCCCGCTGCCCCGAGGCTGTATAATAACTGCTTGCAAGTGGTTGCAAAACAAGTTCCTATTCCTCATTGTTGCTTCTTTTTTTTCCTCTAGTTTTCTTTTACGGTATTATTATTATTTTCACGGAGAAGGCGGAGAGCCCGAATCTACTTAAGTACGTGTGCAGTTCTATATTTATTATTTGCCATGGCGACCCCCGTAAGTCCAAATACTAGTAACTGGCAGGTCAGGGTTCCGGTTGGGCCTTTTTTCTTTTTTTTTCTCTGATTTAGCCATTTTCCGCGGGAAGTTTTGATTTCGGTAAAAATAAAAATAAATAAAAATTGTATGCAAGCATGCTGGCAACTGTTGCTTCCAGTACTATGCGGTGGCGAATCCGCACTGCCGACTTGGTTGCCTGGTCCAGCCGAATGCTCTCCAGCAACTCCGATCCGCCGGTGGCGATCTGAGCTGCGAGGTGGGTGGTGCTCTGTAAAGACGCAGGTTGCTTGCATGGAGAGTCTTCAACAGGGTTGTCAAAAGACAAGCCTCCATGTCGAGCAGGCAGAGCCACGAAATCGCTCACTTCATGCTTGGTCAGAGCTGGCAGTAGACGGCTGCGACACACACCTTCCTTGAGACTTGCCAAGCAAAGCAGAAGGCAACCCTGGCCTGCCGCCATGCCGACACAACCATGCCAGCTAGCAAAACAGTTGCACCATGTACCATGCTGTAGGCTGCACAAAAGTACAAAGTGAGTACAGGTGCATGTGCTGTTCACTACAAAAGTGCAGCGCTTGACCTTTGTGAACCTTTATGCAATGCTTGTGCTCCATGATCCATAGCTGCGAGAGTACATGAAAATTCACGATACGATAACTGGGTTGTTCACAAGTATGTACTCACTTTTTTCGTACTATGCAGCAGAACTTGTCCAGCATGGAGAACGTCTATTGTTTTACATCCTGCAAACACATGGCCACAAAGGTCTCTGGCTCTTGAACGCTCACATTTCGTCCAGAAAATGTGTTCGGATAATATCACAGTGGCCTTGTAATTGTGCAGTCGGGTTATGCGAGACCCGAAATAGGTAGTCCATCATTTCCGCTGCGCCTGTTCAGGGCAGGACGGGTACTCCACAACTTGAGCGGAGAGCCACCGGAAAGGAAAGCTATCTGTGTCTCTCCCGAGCTGTTCTGCAGCCAGTGCCTCGTTGATAGTATTGTTGTCAGTGCAGCCGTGTAGTCTGCACCGTCCTTTAGCTCAGTTTTCAGCTGCAGAGCTCGGAGGAGTAGATTTTCCACCGGAGTCTCTCTCTCCTCTGTCTCTCTCTCTCGTTTGAGTCACCGTACCCAGGAAGCAATAAGTGAGTGGGCTTACCGTCAGACGACCATATGCATAGGCGATCTGTGATTGCAGCTGGCCAGGGCTTGGAATAGATCAGCCGGAATTGGCCTCAACAGTTCGCCAGTCCAGGTCAGTTCAAACCATCTTGCCACGTTTACTGCCATATTTACATTGCCTAGCTGGCATGCCTACAGTCGAATTCGCGTATATAGCATTATAGGGAACCATTGTCCACGTACAAGTCCCTGTTTGAGCCTATACAAAATCAACCCTTTTAAATTTTAATGCATGTAATAGCGAGCCGTTTTCGTTTAACCATGTCTCTATCGACCACCCTGTCTATACAGACCACCCCTTCTACAAAGACCACACTGTCCATACAGACTATCCCTTCTAGAAGGACCACACTGCCAGTACAGATCACCAGGGCGCGAAATAACGGTCGGACATCGGACAATTTCCGACCGTTTACGGTCAGTTTCCGGATGTTTTGTACATATCCGGACAAACTGTCTGCACACCTTTTTGCAAAGTACAAAAAAGAAAAGGCACTTCAATCCTTTGTCTCATAGTCATTAGTGATGTCGTCTGGCAAGAGAAAGCCAAGCACCGCTGATGCGGGTGCTCCTCTTGGAAAGAAGCCCAGAGGAGTCAAGACGACCACTTGTGACAAGTGGGTCGCCGAGTATGATAGGGAGCTTTCAACTTCTGTTTGGCTGAGCTATGAGCGCAGTCCCTCAGATCGTAGCGTTGTCGAAAATTTGAAGTGTAAGATGTGTTCCCGTTTTGTTGATAAAATTCGCAGCAGCAAGAATTTTTCTGACTCCTTCGTCGTTGGCTCAAGGAACCTGAAAACGTCAGCCTTCAAAGATCATGCTGCTTCTGAAATGCATCGTCGTGATAACATTTCGATGGTATTAATTCTACACTGAACATTGTGTGATTTGATGTGAAAGTTGCATGTCCGGACATGTCCGGCCATTTTTGCAACTGGCAGGACATTGTGTCAGAGCATATTTTAATCCTTAGCGCATGCCCTGGACCACCCTGCCTATACAGACCACCCTGCCTATACAGACCACCCTGCCTATACAGACCACCCTGCCTATACAGACCACCCTGCCTATACAGACCACCCTGCCTATACAGACCAATCTGTCTACTAAGTATATCGACCACCCTGTCTACAAAGACCACCCTGTCCACACAGACCACCCTGTCTATACAGACCAGCCTGTCTACAAAGACCACCCTGTCCACACAGACCACCCTGTCTATACAAACAACTCTGTCCACACAGACCACCCTGTCTACAAAGACCACCCTGTCCACACAGACCACCCTGTCCACACAGACCACCCTGTCCACACAGACCACCACCCTGTCCACACAGACCACCCTGTCCACACAGACCACCCTGTCTATACAGACCACCCTGTCCATAGAGACCACCCTGCCTATAGACCAGCCTGTTTAAATTCAGACCACACTGTCGACAAAGACCACCCTATCCACACAGACCAAAATGTTTTACCGCTCTTGTCTGCACACACTTTGCTATCACCCGTTATGAGCCCTCTGGTTTCATTCCCCGTAGAGTAGCGATGTCATAGAGCACTGTGTTATATTACTACCACCCCGCATCATTCTATTCTCTATCTTTATTTTTTCTCCTCAGCTTCTTCTTCATAAGGTGTTGAAGGAGACTCCCTCGATTTAGGCTAAGACCTGTGGAGAATCCATAAATACAAATACAAAATACAAAATACCAGCCTCTCTATATGGACCACACTGTTGTACAGACCACCCTGTCAATACAGACCACCCTGTTTATACAGACCACCCTGTCTATACAGACCACCCTCTCTATACAGACCACCCTCTCTATACAGACCACCCTGTCTATACAGACCGCCCTGTCTATACAGACCACCCTGTTTATACAGACCACCCTCTCTATACAGACCACCCTCTCTATACAGACCACCCTCTCTATACAGACCACACTGTTGTACAGACCACCCTGTCAATACAGACCACCCTCTCTATACAGACCACCTTGTCTATACAGACCACCCTCTCTATACAGACCACCCTCTCTATACAGACCACCCTGTCTATACAGACCGCCCTGTCTATACAGACCACCCTGTTTATACAGACCACCCTCTCTATACAGACCACCCTCTCTATACAGACCACCCTCTCTATACAGACCACACTGTTGTACAGACCACCCTGTCAATACAGACCACCCTCTCTATACAGACCACCTTGTCTATACAGACCACCCTCTCTATACAGACCACCCTCTCTATACAGACCACCCTGTCTATACAGACCGCCCTGTCTATACAGACCACCCTCTCTATACAGACCACCCTCTCTATACAGACCACCCTCTCTATACAGACCACCCTCTCTATACAGACCACCCTCTCTATACAGACCACCTTGTCTATACAGACCACCCTCTCTATACAGACCACCCTCTCTATACAGACCACCCTGTCTATACAGACCGCCCTGTCTATACAGACCACCCTCTCTATACAGACCACCCTCTCTATACAGACCACCCTCTCTATACAGACCACCCTCTCTATACAGACCACCCTGTCTATACAGACCGCCCTGTCTATACAGACCACCCTCTCTATACAGACCAACCTCCCTACACAGACCACCCTCTCTATACAGACCACCCTCTCTATACAGACCACCCTGTCTATACAGACCGCCCTGTCTATACAGACCACCCTCTCTATACAGACCACCCTGTCTACACAGACCACCCTGTCTACACAGACCGCCCTGTCTATACAGACCACCCTCTCTATACAGACCAACCTCCCTACACAGACCACCCTCTCTATACAGACCACCCTCTCTATACAGACCACCCTGTCTATACAGACCGCCCTGTCTATACAGACCACCCTCTCTATACAGACCACCCTGTCTACACAGACCACCCTGTCTACACAGACCGCCCTGTCTATACAGACCACCCTCTCTATACACTGTCCCCACAGGATACCGCGATTCCGCGGACACGCAATTTTCTGCGTTATTGGCTTTCATCCGCGTTTTCGAGAAATTTTGCGTAAAACCTTAACCCGCATTACTCATGGAAATGTACAAAACGAGAGAGCTTGGAAGCTCAGGGCCCTATGCTATGCTTTTTTGCCTTGATGACCTAGACAAAAAAAAGGATAGGGTTGTTATAAATTCTTAAAAAAATTCCTTTTTTTTAGACATAACCTGGGATTCAAACCCGCACTATCGCGCGCCCTGCATGCATCCCCCGATATACTTCGCATACATACTAATTCTTCCAATTTGCTTCACGTTATGATCTTGCATTTGAAAGCCCTATTTGAATATGCATTTTGGCCAGCCGTCTTTCATGGTACGGTACGGTATGGGATAGGTACGGGACAGGTACGATCGAGGGTAATACGACACCGTCTACCGCCTTGATGACGGCAAAAAAAGCATAGGGATGTTATAAATTTTTCAATTCTCCTTTTTTTCTTCAGCCATATCCTGGGATTCGAACCCGCACTATCGCCCTACATGCATTCCCCCATACACTTCGCATTCATACCCATTCTTCCAAGTTGCTTCACGTTATGATCTTGCGCTTGAAAACCCTATTTGAATATTGCGGCCAGCTGTATGTGGCCAGCTGTGTTTGATGGTGCGGTATGGTACGGGACAGATACAGGATAACGCCAGGCGTGACACAAACACTCAAACAAACAAACAAACAAACAAACAAACAAACACACAAATACCAAATTAAAGCTGTGTGGACCCTGGCTAGCGCCAGACGTTACTGAAGTAACGTCTTCTGCATAGCTACGGGAATAAGTAGTACACCATGCTGAAAATGTACTACAAAGTCGTACCGGTCCATGAAACTCCACGCTAAAGTTGTACAAATGACAGATAACTCGTGCATAATGGCCGCATTACACCGCATATTTGCCGCATAATCCCGCATACCGTAAAGTACCGTTGATCCGCCCCCTCTCTAATTCCCACACCCCTGTCGATTTTCTACCTGTGAAGCGACTTTGGCGTATACAAAAAAAAGATGTTGAACTGACGCATGCACTGCTGTACACAATACTTTCCAATCCAGGATGAAAATGTGCACATTTCAGCACATCGACTCTGATCCTCTACGTTGTTGTACAACGTACTGCACTTGACATCCTTGATCTAATTCCCGCTCCCTGCTGAAAACCCAGCTGGGAAGCGACATGGCGTGTGTGTGTGTGGGGGGGGGGGGGGGGGATCAACGGTACTTTACGGTATATGCCCCATAATGGCCTGTTTTCGCCCGCATAATTATGCGCATAATTTTAGAATTTTGTCGGCGTTATTCTGTGTGAACAGTATACAGATGACCATGTCCATACAGACCACCCTGTCTTCACAGACCTCCTGTTTATAAAGACCACCCTGGCTACAAAGACCAGTCTGGTTAGAGGGGAAGTTAATTAAGCCAAAAATCAAATTTGCACCAGTTGTAGTCTTCGGGGTGCTGAGTCGAATGGTCTTGGTCCGAGGAAGCTGAGACGCTCCCTTCCTCCTTTGTTCCCAATCGAACTCGCGCACTTCCACCGAAACTGGGTGACTGCGCCCTACTAGATGGGAATTTGTATGCAAAATGTCACTAAAAGTGCCATGTCGTTCTTATAAGGATTATCAGACGAATCCGGAACGTGTGGTGGACCAAAGCCCATCTGATCCTGTACAAATTATAGCAAAGAAAAACATGTGATGCGTTGACACTCGTACACATGTTGTAAATCACTGGTGCAAGGAGCATTGCATCATAAATAATGACGTCAACTTGAAATTCTGTCGGAACAGCAGGGTATGTGGGAGTTGCACACTCTTGGGCTTTATGTACTCTTGCTGTTAGGCAGGTACTGTAAAAGCCATATTATAATAACGAAGTGCTAACTCTACCAAGTTAAAGGGGAAGTGCATCGATTTTTCGAGTAGGGTCCAGAAGAAAGACAATTATTTTGATATCGGTTCGAATGGCATATCTCTCGCTTCCATACGATAAGCCAAACTTGCCAAATCGCCAATTGTATACTCACGTTGCCATAGCGACCAGTGCAGTGATGACGTATGAAAGGCTTAGCTCTACAACAGAGAAGGTCGATCACTTGCAGAAATTGGTCATTTTCAATTGGTTTATTGTATTCCCGAAGTGAAAGAAGGGCTGTGTTCAATACTGTAAAAGTGCAGTGAACAGTTAGTACAGTTGAACATCGATTATCCGACCACCTCTGGGCAGACAACTGTCAGGCGGTGTTCCGATAAGGCAAATGTTCCGGATAAGAAACATGTACATGTACATGTACGACCTTCTTACTTTTCAAAATTTTCGTATTTTTTTTTGAATGGCTCACTACATGCATAGTGCGTACTCTACGGCACGTGCGCCCAAAAAAACTGTTACGGATAATCGAATGGTCGGATAGTCGATGTGCGGATAATCGATGTTCAACTGTAGTCCTCTCGGTTGTGTACTGGGATGTGACACCGACAGGAGAAAGCTGGAGTGCGGAGACATCAACAGACAAGCGAAAGTAGTGACGAACAAAATGCTGAAATCTTGGTTGGGACAAATCAGACGTTCAGCATTTCCCCCAACCAAGGACCATGCCGTTTGCTCTTTCCACTTCCTGAAGATGGATGTGATGCTTCCTGGCGACTCTCCTATCTCTCGTAACATCTTCTGAAGCCAGGTGAGACGACGGGTGGTGGAGATTGACGAATGAAATAATGTCGTAGGTTTGAAAGTTTGCTGAAAATGTCTCAGGAGAGATGGCGAATACCAAGCATCTTCTCCTAGAGGAAACCATTTCCTAGGCACAGTCAGCCTAGGGAAATGCAGGAGAAGGCCGATAAACAGTTCACGGCACTTTTACAGTATTGAACACAGCCCTTCTTTCACTTCGGGAATACAATAAACCAATTGAAAATGACCAATTTCTGCAGTGATCGACCTTCTCTGTTGTAGAGCTAAGCCTTTCATACGTCATCACTGCGCTGGTCGCTATGGCAACGTGAGTATACAATTGGCGATTTGGCAAGTTTGGCTTATCGTATGGAAGCGAGGGATATGCCATTCGAACTGATGTCAAATTGTCTTCCTTCTGGACCCTACTCAAAAAATCGATGCACTTCCCCTTTAACGAAGAGAAATCTGTCGTTAAAATAGAAATCGTTATACAGAAATCGACACAAATACTGTCGTATTGAGCGTTGAGAATGAGTGAGAATCGTTACCTTCGGCACACGTAAACTAATCAATTTTGGGAAATCGTTATATACCGGTATGCGCCTCGTTAGAATAATGGCTTTTTCAGTAGTCAACAACTCGTTGTGGTTATGTCAATTTGTTGTCTACTTTTTTTTTGTCGCACCACACCTCACGCTTGTTGGGTCTCCTCACACTTGCACCTTTTCCCCCATTTTCTGTCAATGTGTATTGGTCGCGCATTCTTCATTGTTATTTATTTTATGTTAGCTCTTCTTCCTTGTACTCCCTGTAATAGTGGAGAGTGTTTCAAGGTGCACTGCTCACGCAATCATAGGCTGTGTTTACATGAGAATTTTCGACCCGGCTCGAGTTCAGCCCGAGTTGAAAGTCTGTACGATAGACAAAATAGGTGAGCGTTTACATGAAGGCAGTTGACCCGGGTCAAATACTGATATGCCGCCAAACGTCCACTTCTAGAGTCCTGTGTGGTCACGTGAATACTTTCGCGCGAGATTTGCCTGTGCACTGCTATTCAAACCTGGCGCGAGATACGCATAGAAGTACGTTAGTACGATTTTCTCGCCCGGGTTGAAATCAACCCGGGTCAAGCGCAATGCGTCATGTAAGCACGGCATTCATTTGTGTACATGGCGGGTTGAAATCTGACCCGGGTTGAACTCAACTCAGGTTGAAACGCCTCATGTACACACAGCCATATACCACGGTCATGTGCAGTCATGGCAAGTGAAATCCGACACTTGGCATAAGGGACTACACCAATCACCATGCTGCTGCAGTGTGCAGCCCCTGCAGCCCTGCATACGTAGTACCGTAAAATACCGTTGATCCCCCCCCCCCCCCCCCACACACACCATGTCGCTTCCCAGCTGGGTTTTGGGCAGGGGGCGGGAATTAGATCAAGGCTGTCAAGTGCAGTACGATGTACAAAAACGTACAAAATCCGACTCGATGTGCTGAATTGTGCACATTTTCATCCTGGATTGGCACGTATTGTGTACAGCAGTGCATGCGTCGGTTCAACATCGTATTTCGTTGTATACGCCAAAGTCGTTTCACAGGTAGAAAATCGACAGGGGGTGGGAATTAGAGAGGGGGCGGATCAACAGTACTTTACGGTACATGTGCGACCAAGAGTACATAACCCCCCAGAGTGTGCAACTCCCACATACCCTGCTGTCCCGACAGAATTTCAAGTTGCCGTCATTATTTATGACGCAATGCTCCTTGCACCAGTGATTTACAACATGTGTACGGGTGTCAACGCATCACACGTTTTTCTTTGGAATAATTTGTACAGGATCGATCTGCTTCGGTCAACCACAGGTTCCGGATTCGTCTGGTAATCCGTGTACAGTGCGCATTGCATCATCAAAATGACGTCAACTTGAAATTCTGTCGGGACAGCACCCATAGTGGAGTTGCACACTCTGGGGGGTTATGTACTCTTGGTGTGACATACAACTACTTGTATCTGTCTCATGACAGAAATCATACTCATCACAGTCAAGGTTCACTTCAAAGGTTCAAAGGTGCTCGCCAAAAATGATTGGGGACTGGATAGCAATACTCTTTATGTATACCATGGCTATGAACTGTGTGTACCTTCGCTGTGACCTTTCGATCTGTTTGTGATGCATACGGCTCTATTGTACGCATTTGGTACAGTGCATTACGTCATTGATGTCCATTTGTGGCGCTGTCCCCTGTAGCAAGTGTCGGATTTCACTTGCCACGACTGTAGTTCAATAAAACAGCTAAGAGCTGGATCTCCTTTAGTCAGAATCTGATGTTCACCGAGAGGATCGGCAAAGCTTCTATTGGTATTTGGTGGATTATTGAATTATAAGCGATTCACAATGAACAGACCGTTACTGGAGTCGGAAAGCTGAAACTCTGCACACATGTTGGAGTTTACGGACAATTGTTTTGTTTTTCTCTATTCAAACTGACATCTTCGTTTCTTGTCACTTCTTTTCGTAGTAGCGGCTGTACGGCATAATGCACCTTGTGGCAGCTCTCGTCCTCGTCAGCCACCTGCTCCTGGCTAGCACAGCAAATGCAGCAGATGCGACAGGGACAGACGCGATTGGTGAGTGACGTTCTGAGGGATTCGTGGCGTTCCTTAATGGGTATCGCCACACCTGTGCATGACATTTGAGATATTATGGCATACCGAATTTTCCATTGTGGCTATTGCTGTTGTTGCTGCTGCTGCTATTGTTGCTGCTGTTGTTGCTGTTGTTGCTGTTGTTCCTGCTGTTGCTGTTGCTGTTGTTTTTCCTGTTATTGTTGTTGTTGTTTCAAATCTTTATTCTCACGATAGCCAGTGGCCAATAAGAGATAATAGTGTAAGAAAGGAGAAAGAGTGAGGAAGAATTGGGTGGGCAGAGCCTAGGGGTTAATGACTACTTAAGTGTACGGGCAGGGGTGGTCGCTACACGAGCATACAGAGTTGTGCAACAGCAGGGATATCTGGGATTTGAAGAGAGTACGAGAAAGGATTTCGCGAAGCTTGGTGGGCAAGCAATTAAAGTAATGGAGAGCCTTGTACAGGGAAGAATGGAGACAGCGGTCAGTCCGCTGAGTTCGCAAGTGCCAAGTACGAGAGCAACGTAAATTATACGAAGGTTGCACGCTGCTAGCAGTATGCAGTGACAGTAGATGTGGTGGGGCATAATTGTGGCGCTTGTTGTTGTTGTTGTTGTTGTTGCTGCTGTTGTTGCTGTTGTTGTTGCTGTTGTTGTTGCTGCTCCTGGCTATGCTGATGCTGCCGTCGCAGGTATTACTGCTGATGTTATAGGCTATTAGTCTTATGATGGACACTGGCCGATAAGAGATAGTAAACATCTTTCCGTATCTCTCCGGGCCCCACCGCCACACTCCTGTGTTCAATTCAGTGCCTGGATATGCGTGGGGTTTGAAATGATCCTGGACAGCATGGACCACGAATGATTTGTCTCCTCGGTCTGCTGCACATAGTGTTATTGTCTTATTGATACATGCATTGGCCAAGTGCCAGGCACGGACTGGTGCTACTGGGCAGAGAAAGAGTGCTCTTTGCCGAAACTGTGTGTGTGTGTGTGTGTGTGTGTGTGTGTGTGTGTGTGTGTGTGTGTGTGTGTGTGTGTGTGTGCGTGCGTGCATATGTGTGTGTGTGTGTGCGTGTGTGCATGTGTGTGTGCTTGTGCGTGTGTGCGTGTGTGTGTGTGTGTGTGTATCCGTGTGCATGTGTGCCCTGCCTTGCACAGCGGAGCTACACATCGCGACCGACTTGAAGCCGACCTACTACCTGTCACAGCACAAGACCCTGGTGCTGAAAGCATCTGCCGGCGGAACTCTCAGCATCAACACTACAGTCAAGTGGCTCGAGTGGATTGTCCCCGCTGACACGGCTGTGTTGCACGGCTTGGCACAGGGCAATCCCAGCACACTGCACAACAGCACGGGCGTATGGGGTTCGCTACCCGTACTTGCACTGCCCAGGGACTTGAACGAAGTGATTCTGCAGTGCGTCTTCACTTTGCCGGATAACCGCACTGTGGAAACTCGCCTTGCCCATGTTTTTGTCGATCGTGAGTGCATCCGGCAATTATTATTATCATTATTATGGAAAGACAAAAATGACCTATAAGTTACTAGTTATGACTAACAGTACACCAAGGTAACAAGATATTATACAGTCAGATAGTGCAACAACAAGGCACAAAACTGACAAGGAAATTAAGACCTTCGACTTATTGGTCCTTTTCTCTTTCCGTATTATTATAAGTATCTAATATTGACTGAGTACTTGGTCAATATAGGAAATAAAAGCTGAGTAAAAGACCGAGGCGAAGCCGAGGTCTTTTACGAGGTTTGTATTTCCTATACTGACCAAGTACGAAGTCAATATTAGATTTATCACGACAAACAGTCCGTATTTCAAATTCCAGAACGATAACCTCATGAATCCCGGTTTTATGATTGCACAACCGTTGCACCACCACCTACTCATGCAGTGACAATGCTGCACTAGGCACCGTTCAACTGCGCAACCCCTAAGCAGTCAAATATAAGCAGTCAATATAACCCTAAGGAGTGAAATATGCAGGAATATTTGACTGCTTAGGTATAGCGAAAATCAATGGGAGTCAATACTAAGAGAGTGATAATTATTATTATTATTCACACATATCCGCCAGATGAGTACGCGTGGCTCATGGAACATGGGAAGCCACGAATACAACCCAGCCTAAGTTCCCTCAGCAATGTAAGCAAGCAAAGAGAAATGAGAGCCCGGGCAGCGAAAACAAAGCGAGGAGAGATGAGGACATAGGCAACGAAAACAGTTCCAAAGCGTAGCCACTGTAGTGGTGAAACGAATATTCCAACATTCGTTCAGTTGGTCACATTCGAATATTCTTTAAGTCGCATTCGAGTATTAGTGACGTCACTTCGAATGCAGTGAATGTACATACATGCATGCCAAACACAGTAAAGACAGTGCGTACAGCCTGCCTGTGACTTTGCACTGCATGCTTGCACATGTATGTGCATACGGGACTGCCAATGTTGCACATAACATGTAGGAACTTGGAAGTAGTCTTATGTGGCAGTGCATTTTATGTGGCACTACCGTTTGTCATACCCGACAGTAATGACTGAGAGGAGGGCATGTGATGTCATCCGTGTTACCAAAAGAATATTCGTACGTTCGTTTGTTAAGCCAAAGAATATTCGGCTAGTAGGTTTTGACATTCGTTTCACCACTAGTAGCCAGCATAAAATTATGCGCATGATATGCGGGCGAAAACAGACCATTATGCGGCAAATATGCGGTATAATGCGGTCATTATGCAAGAGTTGTCTGTCACTGGTACATATTTAGCGTACAGTTTCATGCAAGTATGCAACTTTGTCGTACAAATCTGTGGGCAGGTACGACGTTGTACTGTACAGGCAGAAACTTTTGTCGGTCAATAATTTCATCCAACTCTAAAGAAAGGGAGTGCGTCCGGTTGAAAATTTCGACATTAGTCCGGCATTTAATTTAGTCCAAAGTTCCTTGGACGAAAAGGACGAAATTAAATTCCAGACGAATATTTCTGCTTGTACAGTAGTAAATTTTCAATGTTTTCTTGTACATTTCCATGGATAACGTGGGTTTTATGCAAAACTTTTCGGAAAAGCAGATGAAAGCCAATAACGCGGAAAATTGCGCGTCCGCGGAATCGCGGTATCCTGTGGGCATAGAGCACAGCAGCTGGGAGAATACAAAAGTGCCACAGCGGCAGCCACGAGTGTGCAAACGCTAAAAAAAAAGCAGATTCCGTTATTTTTTCTCAATTATTGTCGTCACCGGTAGATATTTCTGGTGAGAATGCATACGTGCACACGAATGGGCAGGCAAGCATGTCAGGGATAGGTATAGTATTATTATAGTCCCATGCTCTTAAACTAGTTGACAGTACTTTTATGCAATGAATTCCATCGGCATCTCTCTCTCTCTCTCCCTAGTTCCACATGCATCTGTTTGTTCATCTCAGTGTCTCTCCATCTCTGTATCTGCCGATTTCTCCATAGCTCTGTCTCTCCTATTCTCTGCCTCACAGTCTGCCGATTGGCCTGCATATCAATCCCTCTATCTATCATTCTCGCAATCTCTTGCACAATGGAAGTCTTTGCACAGCAAGGCTCCAAACTATACTATCTGGTCATTCACAACAGCAAAGCAACTGGGTGCAGACGGCCATAGCGTTCCCCAACATGCAGTGGTGTGAAGCTTAATTTCTTTTTACAATCATGTATACACTGTACATGTGCAGTATAGTCAAACCTGCCCTAACTGACCGGGCAATGATCCTTGCCATTAGTCCAAAGTAGGCAAAGCATGTGGCAAGTATGGGTATAGACAGGTATTTCATGAAGAGAGGGGAGAGAGGGGGAGAGAGGGGAGAGAGAGAGAGAGAGACAGACAGACAGACAGACAGACAGACAGACAGACAGACAGACAGACAGAGACAGACAGACAGACAGACAGAGACAGACAGACAGACAGACAGACAGACAGACAGACAGACAGACAGACAGACAGACAGACAGACAGACAGACAGAGAGAGAGAGAGAGAGAGAGAGAGAGAGGAGAGAGAGAGAGAGAGAGAGAGAGAGAGAGAGAGAGAGAGAGAGAGAGAGAGAGAGAGAGAGAGAGAGAGAGAGAGAGAGAGAGAGAGAGAGAGAGAGAGAGAGAGAGAGAGAGAGAGAGAGAGAGAGAGAGAGAGAGAGAGAGAGAGAGAGAGAGAGAGAGAGAGAGAGAGAGAGAGAGAGAGAGAAAGAGAGAGAGCGAGAGCGCGAGCGAGAGCGCGAGAGAGAGAGAGAGAGAGAGAGAGAGAGAGAGAGAGAGAGAGAGAGAGAGAGAGAGAGAGAGAGAGAGAGAGAGAGAGAGAGAGAGAGAGAGAGAGAGAGAGAGAGAGAGAGAGAGAGAGAGAGAGAGAGCAGAAAGAGACAGAGACAGAGAGAGAGACAGAGATCTCAGGACAACTCAGTTCCTTCTCTAGGAAGTACAGACATGCATGCTTATCTTGTTTTCATTATTGTCGTTCATTGTCCTCGTGTCTCTCCTACCTGCTGTTAGCTACTCCAAGCATCTTACAGGACCTGGCCCCGCGATTCCTGTATAGGCCGCCTGAATCACTGTTTTTCCAAAGCGCTGCGTTTGGACACCCGTCGGTCGCCTCTGAGTGGCACGTGGAGCGTCGGCTCTGCAACGGTAGCCTGGTGCCGGTCAGCATCGCAGCCCTTGGCAACGTCACCACCCTGACGCGAATACGGGAGGTCGGCGCGAAAGCGTTCCTCATCTCCAGACTGCACGTGTACACGATGCCGCCCAACGTCACACACCTGATTGTCTACTGTACTTTCCATGGTAACCTGCCAGGCAGCACCACAACAACAAGCAAGGCCAACTTGTACCGTGAGTCTGACATCAGCTGCAGGTCTAAACCCAGATACAGTGGCCCCTTTCAAATCCGCCACCATTAGTTTTGTGCTACGGAAATTCTGCTGGATGTTAGGGGTGTGCTGGATATTAGGGGTGTGCTGGGTATTAGGGGTGTGCTGGATATTAGGGAGGGTGCTGGGTATTAGGGAGGGTGCTGGGTATTAGGGGTGTGCTGGGTATTTGGGAGGGTGCTGGGTATTAGGGAGGGTGCTGGGTATTAGGGAGGGTGCTGGATATTAGGGGTGTGCTGGGTATTAGGGGTGTGCTGGGTATTAGGGAGGGTGCTGGATATTAGGGGTGTGCTGGATTATAAAACCTGATTTACTGCTGAAGTGTGCAATGATGAAAGGTCATTCTGGTTGCTGACAGCTATGCTGGTCTATAGAGGGTGCTGGTTTGTAAAGTGTGCTGGTCTATAGAGGGTGCTGGTCTATAGAGGGTGCTGGTCTATAGAGGGTGCTGGTCTATAGAGGGTGCTGGTCTATAGAGGGTGCTGGTCTATAGAGGGTGCTGGTCTATAGAGGGTGCTGGTCTATAGAGGGTGCTGGTTTGTAAAGTGCTGGATTAAAGAGCGACAACTGTAATTACAATCCCAATTTGCCGAGGAAAAACTGCTCAGAAAAGTCCCTTTGCCAATGACTCAGTTTATACCAGCACCACTGCATGCAGTACGGCTGCGTGATGGGTTGAACAGTGCATTGTTGATCCACCGCACTCGTATACTTTACTCGTTCATTCCATAAATTTTTGGCAATGCACAGTCGGATCATTACCCGGCCATTCTACTGCTTCAAACATTCGCGTGCACAGTACATTGTGCACGGCAACATGCTCACATTGTCACATAGATACCGTCCTCAAGCGAAGGTCCCTGTTTCGAGTCTTGTTGGCGACAGTCAACCTTTTCTTCAGACTTCTCCCGTTTGCATCTTTCCCTCAAACCAACGAATATTGTCGCTTGGAGTTGCAATATGCATTATGGAGACAGATTTCATGCATGATGAACCAACCCCTGCAATCGTAGAGTGGACCTTGAGTTACGCCTTGCAAACTTAAAGTTATTAGCCGGAACCCCACACTTTTTCTTTTAAGCAGATTGCGAGGGACATTTAATTAGGCGGACCTGCCTAATTCAAGGTTCGAATTATCAGACATCATTAGGAGGGAATTGTATCGGCTGAAATCATGCTCGAAGAAGGCTCTACTTTCATTTGCAACTTTCCAAAAAAAATTACCGGTAATTATAGAAAGAAAAGACAGGGAACTTCAAGTTACGCTATACTGTACACTAACATCACCAGTGCACAACCAAGATGTGCTAGAGCTGATTGGCAGTTAGCTATAGAACGTCAGTACCGTCGGTCAGTGTCGTGCCATGTTATCACATGAGCTGATTGTAAAGTAACTGGTGGTGTTAGTGGATATTATAACGTAACTTGTAGTTCGATGGTCCTTTTCTTTCTATAAATTTATCCTTGGGTCTCCATCCAAGTCCATTTCTGCAAAATGACATGTTCAAATAGTACGGATTCTACTTGTATGATCAACCTCAAGGTGCTGTATAGACTGATTGTCTGTCTGTCTGTCTGTCTGTTTGTCTGTTTTTCTGTCTCTCTGTGTCTCTGTCTGTCTGTCTCTCTGTCTGTGTGCACATGCGCATGTGTGTGCCTCTACAAATCTATGCATACCCCATACCCTTCTATGCATACCCCATACCCTTCTATGCATACCCCATACCCTTCTATGCATACCCCATACCCTGCTGGTGTGCATGCATACAACATGAATGTCAATGTCTTGCCACTGGCAGTATTCAACAGCTCCAGCCACCGTGCTTCCTTCGCGCCCACTCCAATCCACCCAAAGCAGATTGCAGGCGTCAGTACCGGACCACCACAGACAGTGGCGCCCGCTTGTGACAATACAGCTTCGACTTATACTGGCAGTAGCGGACAAGACGTAGCCAGCACAACCTCGCCCAGCACAGGCGGTGGGCGAGGATCAACTAGCACTCCATCAACCAGTACAGGTAGTGGACAGAGTTCAACCACCGCAGCCTCACCCCACACAGGTAGTGGACAAGGCTCAACCACCGCAGCCTCACCGCACACAGGTATTGGACAAGGCTCAACCACCGCAGCCTCACCGCACACAGGTATTGGACAAGGCTCAACCACCGCAGCCTCACCACACACAGGTATTGGACAAGGCTCAACCACCGCAGCCTCACCGCACACAGGTATTGGACAAGGCTCAACCAACGCAGCCTCACCGCACACAGGTATTGGACAAGGCTCAACCACCGCAGCCTCACCGCACACAGGTATTGGACAAGGCTCAACCACCGCAGCCTCACCGCACACAGGTATTGGACAAGGCTCAACCACTGCAGCCTCACCCCACATAGGCAGTGGACAAAGTTCAACCACCGCAGCCTCACCGCACACAGGTATTGGACAAGGCTCAACCACCGCAGCCTCACCGCACACAGGTATTGGACAAAGTTCAACCACCGCAGCCTCACCGCACACAGGTATTGGACAAAGTTCAACTACCACAGCCTCACCCCACACAGGTATTGGACAAAGTTCAACTGCCACAGCCTCACCGCACACAGGTATTGGACAAGGCTCAACCAACGTAGCCTCACCGCACACAGGTATTGGACAAGGCTCAACCACTGCAGCCTCACCGCACGCAGGTATTGGACAAGGCTCAACCACCGCAGCCTCACCCCACGCAGGTATTGGAAAAGGCTCAACTAACACTACCTCAACGACCACAGGCATTGGACAAGGCCCAAATACCACAACCCCGCCCCACACAGGCACTGGACAAGGCTCAACCACCGCAGCCTCAACCCACACAGGTAGTGGGCAAGGCCCCAAAAACACTACCTCAACCACCACAAGCAGTGGACAAGGCCCAAATACCACAGCCCCGCCCCACACAGGCAAAGGAAACAGGCAAGGACCTCTCACTACGGCACCAGATACCACATCCAGCATAACAGACCCCACTCCCACAGCATCAGTGACTGGTTCTGCTTCTAGTACTGCTTCTCAGTTCTCAACAACAGCTGTATCGATGCAGATCTCAGTTACAGCCAATACCACTGCTGCAAAATCCGGGTTTCCAACGACCGCAGCTAACACGGCTATGACCGACCGCAGCTAACACGGCTATGACCAATGCATTTCCCACGACGTCAGCTAACAATACTTCTGCCGGGACCTCGGTGCTTCCCACGACCTCAGCAGCCAATACTTCTGCGGCGGCCACTGCCCTTCCCACAGCCACAGCAACCAATACTTCTGCGGCGGCCACTGGGCCTCCTCCGACCTCAGCAACCAATACTTCTGCGGCGGCCACTGGGCCTCCACCGACCTCAGCAACCAATACTTCTGCTTGGATCAATAATTCTGCTACGACTATTGTTTATTCCACAACCCCGGCTAACAATATGCCTGCCGTGAAAACTGTGCCTGCTCCGACCCTGGCAAACACTACTTCTGCTGGGACCACTGCCCTTCCCACCGCCATGGCTAACACTACGTCTGCTGTGACCACTGCTCTTCCCAGGGCCACGGCTGCCACGACTGCCGCTGAGTCCACTGCCGGTACCATGGAGATGACAACAGTCGCCATGTCAACCACCGTCGGCACCACACCCGGAGCCACGCCTATGGTACATTCCGCTACTGGCTCAGCTCCGACGACGCTTGCTAACGATACGTCGACGGCGCGCACCGGCAACAGCGTATCGTCTTCTACTGGAGTGTCGCCAATGCCAACTGACGCACCCACGTCGCGGCGGGAGCATGCAATCAGCACCAAGGGTGGTAGCGGCGGTGGTGGTTCTACAGCTACTGTGGCATTACCTACTGCTACTGTGGCATCACCCACTGCTACTGTGCCATCACCCACTTCTTCTGTGCCATCACCCACTGCTACTGTGGCATCACCCACTGCTACTGTGCCATCACCCACTGCTACTGTGCCATCACCCACTGCTACTGTGCCATCACCCACTGCTTCTGTGCCATCACCCACTGCTACTGTGCCATCACCCACAGCAACTACCACAGTTACGACTGACAGGGGACATATGAACAGCAATGTCAGTGGTAGTGGTGACGCCTCCACTGCTACTGCAGCAGTGTCACGGAGAGACACGCTCACATCGCACAAATACGCACACGCTAGCAGTGCTAATGGTGGTAGCGGTGCAGCAGTTCCGACCTCTAACCCGGCCGCTACTGCTCGCCGCGTAGTGCTCCCCGGTGAGCAGGGATCAGCCCAGCCCACTGCGGGCCACAGCGGCAGCGGCAGTCGTGGTGGTGGTGGTGGTGATGGTAGCATGTCCAGCAGTCAGGCTGGTGTTGGACTGGAAGCAAACACAACTCTCGATGAAGGTGTGTGCATAGCCATGCTGCATTGCTGATTTGTATAATTTGCCTCTCTGCCTCTGCGGCGTCGAGCACTGTTTGAAAGTACAGTAAAACCTGTGACTAACGACCACCACTTGGGGCCAGAGAAAGCGGTCTTTACTGGCAGGTGGTCCTTAGTTAGAGGTTTGCACCGCACAACCATAATGAATGTGAGACCGTCCGTGCTCGGCGGAGTGGTCCATTGCACCGGGGGGGGGGGGGAGGGGTCGCTAGTCACGGTGGTCTTTACTTACAGGTTTTACTGTAGTATCAGGCTGGTCGCTAGTCACGGTGGTCTTTAGTCTCACAGGTTTTACTGTAGTACCAGGCTGGTCGCTAGTCACGTGGTCTTTACTTACAGGTTTTACTGTAGTACCAGGCTGGTCGCTAGTCACGGTGGTCTTTAGTCACAGGGTTTTACTGTAGTACCAGGCTGGTCGCTAGTCACGGTGGTCTTTAGTCACAGGTTTTACTGTAGTACCAGGCTGGTCGCTAGTCACGGTGGTCTTTAGTTACAGTTTTACTGTAGTACCAGGCTGGTCGCTAGTCACGGTGGTCTTTAGTCACAGGTTTTACTGTAAATGCCACTTAGCTTGTGAACAAGATGGCAATGTATTTTGCTCGTTGCTGGTAGGGATCAACCAAAACCAGTCATGCAGGGGCGTCGCACACGGTATGGTCACTACGGTATTGACCGTACCACTTTTGCCCCAGATACCCCGTGAATCAACAAAATACATTGATCTGGGATTAAAATTCCGAAATTTTCGGCTCAGCCACCACTCCCCACGAGTAAATTGTACTTCAGATGGCTGACCGTACCACACTAAAATACCTTCCGAGGCCCCTGGTCATGTCAACCGAAACTGGTCATGACATGGCCAATTTCGGTTGAACTCCCAGCAGCAACGAGTGCTGGGATGTGTTCTACCAAACTTGTGGCGTTCCATAGGAAGTACAGAGTTTCGAAGTCTCTTTCGGTCGCAGCTGGTTTTGACGACTACACCTAGCTTAGTGGCAGAGCATTGCTGGCCATAAGGAATGGCCCTGCGCGAATCCTGGTGGTGACAGTCAATGCTTTCTTTGAAAATTCTCTTTCCAACTCTCTCTCTCTCTCTCTCTTCCTCTCTATCTATCTATTTATCTTTTTCTCTCTCTCTCTCTCTCTCTCTCTCTCTCTCTCTCTCTCTCTCTCTCTCCTCCTCTCTCTCTCTCTCTCTCTCTCTCTCTCTCTCTTCTCTCTCTCTCTCTCTCTCTCTCTCTCTCTCTCTCTCTCTCTCTCTCTCTTCTCTCTCTCTCTCTCTCTCTCTCTCTCTCTCTCTCTCTCTCTCTCTCTCTCTCTCTCTCTCTCTCTCTCTCTCTCTCTCTCTCTCTCTCTCTCTCTCTCTCTCTCTCTCTCTCTCTCTCTCTCTCTCTCTCTCTCTCTCTCTCTCTCTCTCTTCTCTCTCTCTCTCTCTCTCTCTCTCTCTCTCTCTCTCTCTCTCTCTCTCTCTCTCTCTCTCTCTCTCTCTCTGATATGCATGACCATCTTGGGTGAAAATGTTCATATGCTAGACTCAGTATAATCATGTAGGGTGTTCCAATACCCAAATACACTAGCGCTGGATTCCCCGGGTAAGCTAGAGCTTTCCATGCAGTAGAGTGAGACAGGACGCTGTCTTCTGTCCGAGAATTTTAACAGCTGTTCATAACCTGGCACCGGCTGCCTGGTGATTACGAACAACCGTGAAGAACTGAGTTGCACGAGACTTTTCTCTCTCACTCTACCAGCGGTGATGTAACGTGCGTGTTGGATCCGCAAGTTAACAACGGAACTAGACTGAGTTTAATATGCTGAAACTCGGAGTTTCCTACCTACCCGAGGTACAGCTGAATTCAGCCTAGTTACATTCTAACCTGTGTTTTTGGCTCTGCCCTCATGGCATTGAGAACGTTTTGCAAGGGTCTAGCTGCATATCTTTGGTTTCTGGGATTCCATTACTCTGGTGAACAGTGGAAACGCCCTGGCGTCACCAATACGTTCTTTTTCGTCGTCTTCTTGCAGCCAAGCCCTTGATCATCACCGACCTTCTGCCTGTCTACAACTATGTCGTCGGGCGAGAACTAACACTGGAGTGCGTGGGTCAGCTTCTCCTCGTCCCACGGTGCACTGGCATACTCGTGCTCTTGAGGACGGCGTGTTCAAACACGTCAACAGCAGTACGATGGGAACAGCGCGCGATGTTATCGTCAACGCGACGGTCACCTCCAGTAGGTTCTCGATCCGTTCTCTGCCCAGCCATGAATCACTCGTGACTGTGCGGTGTCAGTTCAAGGGGCTCACGACACGATGACGGATTCTTCCACGGCGCGTGTCGTTTTATCTTGTGAGTCGGTCGTGTGGGTGTGGGTGTTTGTGTGTGCCATATGGTGCAGTAGCGTGTGCAGCGATTTCCAATCGAAAGGTTGCGGGTTCGATTCCCGACGATTATGGTCACACACATCTTTCTTATCTTTCTAAGGCTCCTCTTGACTTTTCTTTCATTCTCCTGGGTGGTTACCAACAGCCAGTGCATGCCGGAGTATGTGGTGTGATGTGCGTGCGGGGACAAATGAAAAAGACCAAAAAGTAGGGATTCACTGGCCAGAAAAAGCCACTTCATAGCTGTGTGGTGTAGACCAGGCTGAATAGTGGCGGTCAATTCTTCAGCCTTGCAAGCTGTTGAATGGTGCAATCCCAGCACAGGTTGCTTTGGCTTCTGTTGAAGTATCGCTATCATCGCCTCTGGTGATGGGCATCCAAAAAAGGTTGTGTTTGTGTGTGTGTGTGTGTGTATGTGTGTGTGTGTGTGTGTGTGTATATGTGTGTGTGTGTGTGTGTGTGTGTGTATATGTGTGTGTGTGTATATGTGTGTGTGTGTGTGTGTGTGTGTGTGTATGATGTGTGTGTGTGTGTGTGTGTGTGTGTGTGTGTGTGTATGTGTGTGGTGTGTGTGTGTTTGTGTGAGTGTGCGTGTGTGCGTGCTTACGTGCATTCTAGCTGTTGGCCACATGCACATGCTACTGACGACGTGTGGTATGACTGGACGTGCTCTTTGCTGTGTTGTGCTGTGCTGCAGGCTTCCTTCCAGACAATCTACCTCATCTTCCAGTTCACGCAGCTGTTGGACATCAGCCGGAATTTCACCAACATTGCTGCCTATGTCCATCGGTAAGCTCTGCTCCGTGTTTTGTTTTGTGTGCTTGCATTGGCCTTGATCCTTGAAGGTGGTGGCGTTCCTACGGATCAGGAAAACTCGCCCTTTGGCCGAGTCTCACGCGCGGCGCGATGCGGCGAACCGTGAATAATTTTGCATTGG